GGGGTAGGTTCTTGTGTTGGCTCAGGGGTAGGTTCAGTAGTAGGCTCGGGGGTATGTTCAGAAGTAGGTTCAGGGGTAGGTTCAGGAGTTGGTTCAGTAGTAGGTTCAGGAGTAGATTCAGGGGTTGGTTCAGGCGTGGGTTCTTGTGTTGCTTCAGGCGTTGGCTCGGGGGTAGCTTGAGGGGTTGGTTCAGGAGTAGGTTCAGGATTAGGTGCAGGAGTAGGCTCGGGGGTAGGTTCAGGGGTGGCTTCTGGTGTTGGCTCAGTGGTAGGTTCAGGAGTAGGTTCAGGGGTAGGTTCAGGGGTGGCTTCTGGTGTTGGCTCAGTGGTAGGTTCAGGAGTAGGTTCAGGGGTAGGTTCAGGGGTGGCTTCTGGTGTTGGCTCAGTGGTAGGTTCAGGAGTAGGCTCGGGGGTAGGTTCAAGAGTAGGTTCAAGGGTAGGTTCAGGAGTAGGTTCAAGGGTAGGTTCAGGCGTTGATTCTGGTGTTTGTTGAGGGGTAGGTTCAGGCGTTGCCTCGGGGGTAGGCTCTGGAGTTGGTTCAGGAGTTAGTTCAGGCGTTGGTTCAGGGGTTGGTTCTGGTGTTGGCTCAGGGGTCGGTTCAGGAGTAGGTTCAGGAGTAGGTTCAGGGGTAGGCTCGGGGGTAGGTTCAGGAGTTGGTTCAGGGCTTGGTTCAGGGGTTTGGACGTTGTATATTTGGCATTGGTCTAGTACAGTTTGAATTTGGCTGTAGAGATCGTTGTTTTCTGCGTCTGTGCAGCTTGTCAAGGGCTCCTGGACTGACGTGGTCAAGGCGACGCAAGCTGACGAACCACAATACTGAGTTGTGAACGTGTTGATTGACCCAGTGTCCACACTTTGAAACGCCGAGTACCACGTTTCGCTCGTGGTCTTTCCCAGGGCAATTGCACAAGCGTCATTCAGTGTCCATTCGTTTATAGCGACTTGGTTGGCAGCGAGTTGAGATTCGTCGCACGGGGCTGCCCGCACCACTGAGAGTGCCAAGCCCAAAGTTGCCAGGAGGGCAAACTGCATGGTGGCGTCAGTTGTGGGGTTTTCTTTGAGGCGCGCGAAAAAGAAAAGTGAGCTACTCACACGTGGAAATGAAGGGTATTCTTGGGTATGGCGACATGTTGGAACCTATTTTTGTCGATTGATTGACATGACCCCAATGGAGTGTACGTATATGGGGCTAAACATAGATTCTTTGCAGACCACTTGATCCTATCACTGCACTGCATTGGTTGTTTATCATAGTTCATACAGTAGGTTGCTGGAAACTAGTGTGAAGTCGGATTTCTCAGAGCTTTGCAGCGTGTAGTGAATCCCGCGGAGACGACGAAGTGTAGCGCTACCATATTGCATCAGTCAGCGGTAGGTATGTATTTATAGCAGCACCATATGCGAAGCGACTTTGTGAGGTGCCATTTTCAATGGTGACAAAGACAGGGGTGCAATTTTGTAGTCAGTTAGAGGAATTTTACGGCTTCGACGAAACATACGATTTTGCTCGGAACATGGCCTTACAGTTAGTTGCCAATCAAAACCTGACAAACTTGTACATGTACACTGTACTGGTAATAGCCAATCGCATCGATTTGTGTTGTGTCTGCACGTGATGTCACGAGACTTGTACTACAGTACTCGAGTAACGTTAGTACTACAGTATTAATAACCGCGGGAGCCAAGGTGGAAATGGATTCTGACTCCAGAATCCGGATTATGATAATCTAGGTTTTTGAATCCGGAGAACACGATTGGAACTCTGCCACCGAAATGCCGAAAATTCACAAGTACACGGGTATTCTATTGGCCACATCCTGGTCATTGGATCTATATCATTGGTCTACATTGGTATTTGCTCCTTTTCATTGGCTCCACTATCTATGACTGCTCTTTTAGGCATTTGACAGTCAGGTAAAACGAAATTTAATGTGCTATTTTGAATTATTCAAGTATTCTGACCGAAATGTTGCAGCACGTCATATACAAGGCCATTCTGCGCTGCAGGAATATAATTCATCTCCCACGAAGATGAATATGGTCTTAACTGGTTCAATAGTTGGCGAAGAAGCACCATGCGATGGACCACTTGATCACATGTGGTCACGGCTGCGACGTTCCTTCCATCACTGTCAGTACTGGGAGATTAGATTAACACCCCGAAACCCCAGAAACCCCAAACTCCGTCTGAAACAACAAATGCATTGTCGTCTACTATTAGTATTACTATGGAACTAGTACTACTAGGCTGATGTTATTGGCTCGACGGATTTCAACCAGAAGCCATGGCATCAGCACGTCTGAACGTCGTGGACGAGTTCATGGGGTACCTGAAGGACCCCGAGTCTGCGATTGCGGTGGCGGTGATCAAGGTGCTCACTGGTGTCATTCAGCACTCGGAGGCGAGCACGATGATGGAGATGGAGAGCGCGTTGCAGGATGCTGCGTCCCAGCTCAAGGCAGCGGCGGCCGCCAATTCGCCTGCGGACAACAAGAACATCGCGACGCACTCGACGTCCGCGCAGTCCCTGTCCTCCATCTCCGTGACAGCAGGGTGTCAGCTCTTCCTGCGCTACGTCACGCGTTGCTTCCTCGAGTTCGACGATTTTGACCAATGCAAGAGCCAGCTCATCGATCGCGGCAAGCTCTTCGCCGAGACGTCGTCCACGAGCCGCAAGCGCATCGTGGACTTTGGCCACAACTTTGTGCGCGACGGGATGGTCGTGCTCACCCACGGTGCGTCGCGTGTGGTCACCAAGGTGCTGCTGCAAGCCGCCAAGTCCAAGCACTTCTCCGTGGTGGTGACCGAGGGCCGACCAAACGGCGCCGGGTACAAGACGGCCGAGCTTCTCTCCAACGCGGGCATCCCCACCACCGTTATCGTGGACGCCGCCATGGGCTACTACATGGAGCGCGTGAGCATGGTGATCGTGGGTGCGGAAGGTGTGGTCGAGAACGGCGGTATCGTCAACAAAATCGGTACATTCTCGTGTGCGATGATTGCGCACGCGATGAAGAAGCCCTTCTACGTGGCCGCGGAGAGCTACAAGTTTGCGCGGCTGTACCCGTTGAACCAGCACGACTTTCCCCACAGCCGCCGCACCGACGAATCGGTTGTTAGCATGCTCGCGCCGTCGTGCACGTGCGATCCCGAGCTCGTACTTCCCAGCCACCCGCTGCTCACAGCCGGAAGCCCCGCGTGCGACTACACGCCGCCCCAGTACATCTCTCTCCTCTTCACGGACCTCGGAGTGCTCACGCCGTCAGCCGTGTCGGATGAACTGATCAAGCTTTACCAATAATCAACCAGTTTCTTTTGATTTGGAATTGTGTTTCCCTGCTTCAAAATCGACGCGAATACTACAGGAACGCTATATATATATATATATATATCCGGAAATTCGTACCAATTCAGTAATATACATATAACATCTACAGACCAATTCAGTAGTAATATATATATATATATATGGTACGAATTTCCGGACGATCACGAACGTCGCCCATTGGTCGATCTGAAAATGTGTGTCGCCGATTGGCTACATAATTTTCTCCTTTTACTTCGTGCTTTTTGCGGAATCGCGAAAGCGAATGAAACCTCGCGGTGAGATTGTTTTTCGAATCGCCCAGAATTGGGAAATATATAGCAAATTTATCATCTATGTGATGTAAATCCATGGTCTCGTCCGTCTACTAGTAGTAGTACTACTCATGTTAGGTTGTCGGTGTGAACTTGCGGACAATGTCGGCAATCGCGTCGTAGCCAGGGTCGGCGCGAGCCGACGGCAGCGCAATCCATTCCCGCCACACTTGCAACATGCGATCGGTCGCGCGGTCCTTGTACCTACAGCCATACGTGACCCGAAAACTAACAAGTGTCCAGCATGATAGTAGCAGTAGTAATACTAGCAACTACTAGTGAGTGTACTATTCATGCATGGCGTACGTACTTGGTTTGGTCAGGAAGGTGGTGGCCCACATGGGGCTCGAGTGGATCTGCATCGGTTGGTGCAAACTCGTCTGGCGACCGCACAATATACGCATACGCGAGGCCCTTTTCATATTACATCAACGACGCCACTAGCAAGTTCTTTACCAAATTCTTGAGCAACGAGTCGGACCAAAACTGGCGCGGCTCGTGGCGGAGCGAGTGCTCGAGCGGCCGCGCGCACTCTGCGAGCCACGTGATGTTGGGCCGACCGGATTTGATGGCTTCGTCCAGCAGGTACGTGGCCGCGCCCAGCTGCTTCATGTGGAAATCCCGCGCCTGCAAAAGAGACCAGTAACGAATGGTCGACAGAGTTGACGAACGCACCACCGTCCATTCCCACGTGTCGTCGGTGTAATCTGCCTCGGACGGAAGTTGCACCAAGTGACTTTGCACTTTGGCCATAATGCGGGCATTGTGGCGGTACCACGTCTTGAGCGATTTATACACTGGCTTCCCCGCCGGATGAAACTACACAGTAATATATATATATATTTCAGTATTGCATGTATGTATGTATATATATATATATATATAAATATATTATTCTATTCATTTAATAAAACACTAATTTTCAAAATAAAAGTACCAAGGTATATTATTTATATCATACAGATTTTCAAAAACGACTATAGATAATTTATCACCAACATTCATGTGATCATTCACCCCTCAAGGTAAATCATCATAAATTAAACTTATATTTTTAAAACCTTCTATATATTTTAATCCTTCTATATTTCTTATAATTGTGAAAATACAAGTTTTGAAAATGTTTTTCAGAAGATATAATAATTTGACAAATATATATATATATATATATACTAGGAAGCATCTTTGGCAGGTGGAGATAGATGTATATATATGCAGAGTCGACTACTTCATATCACGTACTCTATCGAGAAGGCCAAACGGCACTGTGATAAAGTGGGATTCGAACGACGGGTCAGGAAAGTTGAGCTGGCCGCCAAGAAATATCCCGCCTCGAGATACCCGCTTCATGTTGGCCTGCAGCAGCTCGCGCAGGCTAAAGCCGCCGTCTTGCTGCCACCACAAATAATATATCAATATATTATATAGAGGACATCAAAATACAAATAATATATCAATATATTCAATTAAAAATAAATGAACGCCTTACGATGGTGGAAGCTGGGACAAGGCGGTCGCCTGGAAAGACTATCGACGGGTACAATGCGTGCTTGGTGGCAAACCATTTGTACGTCATCATGGACAAGTTGAGCACTGTTAAATCCGGTCTACGATAATATATATATATATATATATTCAATATCATTTCCGGTCTACGGTAATATATATATATATATATATATATATTATATATTATATATATATATTATATTATATATATTATGTATTATATATATATATATATTCAATATCATCCATACATAAATATCTTACCGAAACCCTTCGCATCGCTGCAGGTACCGCATCGCCGTCCATTGCAAGTCGTAATTGACAAATACAAGTGCGTGGGGTGGCAGTGGATCCAACAGCGCCTTGGCATAGTTTGGAATGAACCTACCCAGCATATATATATATAACTGTGTGTTCACTAGCTTAACTATAAATATTTCAATATTTTCATCCGAAAATGCATCGTACCAAGCGTGGCTTTGATTGCCCACATGCTGCCACGTCATCCCTTGGCCCACCATAGCCGCGACCGACAGCACGACCCCCAATCCCGCCGCCACCGCCCCCGACGTCCTCCACGCCCGCTGCAGCACCGCGTCCAGGCCGACGCCGCCCCAGACGAACAGAATAATGTTGGGCTGCTGCCAAAATCGCATGTGTACGCCGTAGAGCAGGCCTTCGGTCAGCGGCATATTGGAAAGCGCATGGAACACGATCAGGTAAAACGTATACATGAAGGCAACTGCCCATCTGAACCCGGCGACTCGGGGGGCTGAGGGGGGGGTAGTCACAAGGCCGGCCACAGCCAACGGCCCCAGAATGTAGCCTCCCTAGCCAAAGATATCAAGCATGATATCCTATCGGCATGGTCCAATGTATGATCGGTATATTGATTGCCCTTTTACTCAAAATGAGGACTTTTGTACTGACTGTGAATCGCCAAATCCATCATTTTACTGAAGTTTGTATGTCAAAGTTGACCTTTGGTGCTTGTATTCACACTAATTTCAGTCCCACACTAATTCGATGTTGGTTTCCTGCAATCTGATTGGCTAAATATATCCTTCTGCCGAGTTGTCTTATGTACATTTATTTGGTTGTGTCGATACTAATAGTAATACTATCCAATATGATAAGTATGTAAGGAGACGGGACGTACTTGTCGAGTGAGGGCGTCTTGAAAGTAGAGTATCATGCGTGTAGTTAACGACTCGGTGTCTCGATCAGTGGAAAACAGTCGGAATGTTCCGTAGTCTACTCCCCAATAAGACTATCCGATTAGTTTATACAGGTCAAGGCAACACCATATACATGTATGACCAACCTCCTCGACGGATATGGTGAAAGAAGCCGGCTACAGTCGTCACATCCCCCCACGAGCCTGGCTGCGGGTTCCAAAGCGACGTAAGCGGCATGTATGCGTAGCTAGATGATGGACAGTGTCACAGGCGGTGGTGTGACGTGGCACAGTGTACGTACGGGAGCAGCCCCACAACAAAGTACAAGGCATACGTGGAGAGGGTCTTCATGCCAAGGGACCGACGCTGGGTCCACAGCACGTACAGAACGACGGGGATCTCAAACAGAACGATCGTGTGCTGGTTGCACATGGCTAGCCCACACACGAACGCCCCAAGGTTGGCATAATACACGGAACCAGACTGCGCGTAGCTAAGCAAGAGGAACAAAAGCCACGCGGCGAAGAGATTGTTCAGGGCAAACACTTCGGCGCTGATGGCGTAGGTCCATATCAACGGGCTCAAGGCAAACGTGATCTACCAACATGGAATCAGTGCATGGGATATTGGGACAAAATCGCACGGAGGCAGTGGCGGCGGCGACTTTGGTGAGCCATGCACTCGCAGTGGAGGAGGAGGCGGGGGATGTCCACTTTAAGATGGTTGCGTACATGAACATGCAGCATATCGTGTCGCATACTAATGGGAATGGTAGTGTTCGCGTCAAATCGTAGACGTCCACATGCAGTTGGTACCGGCGGAGAACAAGTTGGCTTTCCAAGCTTTGGTCTGTGCACCTGGCATGTTCACGACGAGGTAGTTTAGCATGTTGAACAAGGGATAACCCGGTGGATGGGATACGCCTAAGTGGCACGACTCGGCCACGAGTTCACCACTGTCTCCTCCGGCAATACTGGGGTAGATCGTCTGGGAGTACACGCCTAGCACCGCCGAGCCAACCAGCCACATGACAGGATCTGCTGCCACAGACACCTTCCAGTGCTTCGCTTGGGGAGAATCTTCCTCAATGGCTGAAGGAAGCTGCTGCTCCTTGCCTTTGGACTTTCGGCGGCGTTGCATGACCAAATAAAGTTGGCACCGAGATATCTTTGACTCGAAGTTCGAAGTTGCGTTTTGTGCCCAACGCATGCAATTATACAAGGTATTAAATATGACAGGTCTGGAGTGAACTAGTACTGTATAATTCGATTTCTTTTACCGGATGACTGCCGTGTTCAATTGACTCTAAAAAGCTATATTGCGTGAGATACAATACAAAATAACTCGGAATGATAGTCAATTTCAACCGTGTTTACTGATATCCTTTCATAAATTGTACGCAATTATTGAATTGGCATTCATTATCATATTAAAATAACCTTTATAATATGATACAAGTTAAAAAGTAGCACTCGATGCTGACGACCACTAGTGAGTACTGTATCATTTGAACTCTTGCTAAGGAACGTCAAATATATATCGCCCTACAATGCGACTTTAGGTCGGCGGTCTGTGTTGGGTACTACTAGAAGTACAGTACTACTACGTAGTACGTAGTAGTACCAGCAATTCACTGCCAGACTAACTGTAAGCTTAACGTTACATTACAGGAAGTACCCTGACGGGTCGTACTACAACAAATTCCTCAAAGGTTCAGGTTTGCACAGTTAAATTGGTCCAAGGGTGGTTGGTCGTTATACGATCGCCAGTCGTAGCCACGTCACCTGTTGTGTCATGTAAGTATAATCGTGAACTCGAGAGTGTTAAAGCATCGGGCTAACTAAATAACTACATATAGTTAGTGTACCTCTGGAACGGCTCGAGGGGTGGTTGAGGCCACTTTAGTTTCAAGGGCCACGGAGAGAAATGCGTTTCGTTCTTCGACGTATGGAGCGCAAACGACATATCCCAGAGACTCGAAGAAGGTCCCTGAATAATGAGCTTGGTCACGCTACAGCTGTATATTGCAGCGATGACAGTGATGTATGTACTGTACCTTGGTCGGTTGTCCAGAGGTAGATTGTCACTGGGCCTTGGGACTCGCGTCGAACGAATCCCTCAACTTCGAGCATCAACGTGCGTCCAATTCGCTGGCGGCGACTGTCCTTATGGACCACCACCGACACGACGAGACACACTGCTGGCGTCGTCCACCTGACGAGGGCATGACCCACCACCGCTTCATCGGGGAGTCCGGAGTTGGTGACTACTAGTACCCTAGTATGGTTGGGCTGTGGCTCGAGCCCTCGACGCCTCGTGTGGACGTGAATGGGCCACTGCAACTGAAGCAGGTCAAACACTTGCGAAGTCAAGTGCTGTGGCACTTGGTTGCAAACGATCGAGGTTGTTGTCGGCAGCATGTCCGCCACTACAGTACTATTCGAGATGCCATTGGCTTGCCACAGTTGTTCTTGGCCAATCACAGCGCCGCATGGCCAAGGAGCAACCAAGAAATAAAATCATCGTAAGTCCCAGGAACAGACCGCAGAGGGATTGGATACACGGTACAACGTGGGTATACATATGTGTGATACATGAGTCATGAGCTCGATGACTCGATGACTCTGTCCTGGTTGCTCGAAATAAGAAATGCTATTGACTGCTGGTGGGTCTTTGCTGGGTGATGTCTCGTGAGGACGGAACCCACTTGCATGCACTGTACACTTACACTTGCATGGATGGATGAATGAATGCATCACTTCACTTCACTATGCCAACTAGCGCCCCGCTGGTCGTGACCCCACGGCAACATCCAGCAATAACGAATGAGACTGTAACGAGACGACGACGTTGTAAACATTGCTGTGCGTTAGTTATACTATACGTCGTAGTACTACTAGTCGTTAGCGATGTTGCGCCATGAACTCGCCGTCGACAAACAACTGCATCAAATCATCGAGTGGCGGCGGCGGGCCTCCTCGATGGCCTACGTGGTAATCGTGCATACTTGACGGGGGAAACAAAGCCGACGAGGTCGCGTATGACGAAGGCGTGTGCAAGTACTCTTGCTTGTACTCTTGCTTGAACGACTGCGACGTGTAGCTCGGATAATTCTGTGGGGGTGGCGGCGGCTGTTGATGATGATGATGGTGGTGGTGGTGGTAGCTGGTCGAAGGTGCGTACCCCGTCGACGACTGGAAGCTCCCAGGGAACGCCTTGTCCGCAGTAGCGTACCCTCCTGGAGGATGGAGCGGCTCGAGGACGGGCAGTCGCGAGTGGTGTGGAAATGACGCGTGGGTAGACGATGGATGCTGCTGCGAGTCATAGTACGACTTCATGTGTTGAAGCGGCGGTTGGTCCGACAAGGCACTCAGCGCTGGCAACGCCTTCATTTGACTATGAGGATAAAACTTGGCTCCGCTGAACGACATCGCAGACGATGATGCTGCTGCTCCGGTCTTGTCCTCTCCAGGCGAGAGATTCTCCGCCATCCAGTCGTCCGACATGGCACGCTTCCGCAGCAACCCTCGTTTTCGCCGAGACACCTTTTCGCGGTACTTTTGCGCATGTGTCTGAGTCTGTCGCGCTGACCGTGTGCCCACAAAGTTGGCCACCGACTGCCACGGCCCTTGCGGGTACAATTTGATGGCCTGGAGGTACCGCATGTGCTCGTCGCGGGTCCATTTGCCGACACCAGGCTGTGTCATGTGCGCCGCCGTCCTTGATCGAAACGTCCGAAGTGACTGCCTTCGTGTGATGATGGTGGAGTAGTAGCACCGATTGTGTAAACGCATTGTTCCGGCGGACCATGTGGTTTAGAATTGACTTGGGTTTAGTGAACACTCGGTTTTGGGTACTTTGCCCCGAGTTTACTGTTGTCAAGTGCCATCCACCAAAGTTCTGGTTCAGTGTCACTTCGTAAGTCACGGTCCCACTCACTCCACCTCAAGGGTTGTTGTTCCTTGCATGAACATACCTCGTCGTTGATGCGATGGGGTGCGTCCAAAGAGAATGGAAACAGTATCGCAAGCCCAAAGATCTCGCGAATAATGTACATCCTCGGCCCCAGCTGGTGTATCAATTGCTGACACGTGCCGAGCTCGTCGTGGATTGGACCTTGCTGGACATGCTGTCTTTGGTTGGCTGCCACAACTGCAACTGACAAAGATACTTGCATCATGCAAAGACACACAGCATCCCATGTGAGACAATGTTGAGGTGGTAGAGCGACGACAGTGACGTGGGGGGGGGTTGGAGTTGTGCATGACTAGTATATACGTTTGCTCTGACTAGTACTAGTATGTATGTCCAGTACTACTAGTATGACTGTCCAGTAATCGACCCGCACATACGTCAAGAGGGTTGTTTCTTTCGAGTGTCGCCCCTGCCGTGGACCATCAAACCAGCTGATCACGTCGTTCGTACCTCTTGAATCGGATATGATAGGTCCACCACTCACATGGAGTATTGCCATACAAACCCCAACATGTGCGAGTATGACAGATGGGAGTGTATTAGGTTTCAAAGGGTCGCACAAATCAGGTTGTGGTATCGCTTCTGAGAAGTTCCAACACTACTTGGTAGACGAAGGGTGTCGTCTTGGCTGCGTGCCTGCCTGCCTGCCTCCTATGCTTCCACATGTGAACACTGGAAACGCAGCCAAGGCAGACAAGTTTGAGTCGTCTTACTAGGTACAGTAATACTAGTACTACTACGTAGTAACAAGCTGGGAATACAGGAAACATGACGGAACCAGAGAGAATCGTCGCCAACGTGACGACAAACTCGTCAGCTGAATGACTGGCTGGATGTACCGAACGGCTCGTTATGTACAGCCATACTACTACCGGTACTGTACTAGTACGTACTATTGTACTCCGTACAACTGTGCTAGTAGGTACTAGTTAGCGAAACAAACATCATCGCAGGCGACGACGCTGGTACAACATCCAGTGAGCCAGAGTACGTAGTTTCAATACTAGTTAACTACACGATCTTTCGCTTCTTGTTACCCACCACCACTTGATGGCCGCCCCCAAACGCCCGGCCAAAATGATGGTCTTCCCGCTGGACGGATGTGGTCGGTGGCGGCGGCGGCGGCGGCATGTCGTCATGTTGCGAAGGGAACGTTGGCATCATGCCCACTTCCTTGGGAAACGGCCGCTCGTCAAAGTACGGATGGCGCAGGGCACTCGACGCCTGAGTCGTCGTCGCAGCAGCGGTCATCGATCAAATCGATGTCTATTGTACATAGGGTGTACCGTAATGCGCTTGGATGGATCGTACGTGAGCATGCCCTGCAGCAACTCCAAGCCCTGGGAATCCATCAATCATTAGTGACATATGTGACATCGTCCAATGGTCTCTGCTTACCGCTGCGGACAAGTGCGTTTCAAATAGCTTGGGGATGTGGTTGTACACGTACAAAGACGAGTCGAACAAGTCGAGCTTGTCGGCGTGAGGGAGGCTAGACATCCCTGGCCAAATGCGCTCCGTGGGCCGGCCCAACGTCTACCTCCAACTGTTTTAGTGACATGGCCCTTCTTTACAGTAGTGACATGGCCCTTGAGATTATTCGGTATGGTCAAATCGACCGACAATCGACCAATCAAAACCCAAAACACGAATATCAAGTGGCCAATCAAATCCATCCACTCGGGACCAAGTCACCTTCGAATTAGTGTATGACTTCAATTGGTGTGAAATGAACAACCAATCGATCGATGGATTTGGCGAAAAATCAGCCAACTTGGTAAAACAAACACAAGATATGACACCTTGTAGATGAGTTGCAGCTGCTCCAAGTCCGTCGACCCATTCAGAAGCGGTCGGTTCAGGATGAGCTCTCCAAATATGCACCCGCACGCCCTACAATGTTGCTGGCGTTACATTGCGGTGGTTTCCTGGCGAATTGGATCAGTATACCAAATGTCGATTGATGACGAGTACGACTGTGCCCCTAGGAGCAGCTCGGGCGCACGGTACCACAGCGTCACGACCTTGGGCGTCATGCTGGTCGGGGAGGGGAACCCCGTCTCCCTCGCAAGACCAAAGTCCGCCAGCTTGATGCGCCCGAACCCGTCGTACAGAATATTGGACAGCTTCAAGTCCCTAAAGCCTTGCACGTGACGTACGATATGCACGACGACGATAGAGCACTGTCTGTACCTGTGAATGATGTTGATCGCATGCAAATATTCCACCGCACGCAAGAGCTCCATGAGCACTCGCTTGACCTAGACGAGTAGTCGTGATCATCATAGTGAATCCATCGTGAGGATAGATGGAGCGTGCACGGCACACCTCCGACTCGGTAAACGGACGGTGGACGTTGCTCAGTAGAGCGGACAGGTCGTGCTCGCAGTACTCAAAAACCAGAAACACGCTGGAAATCGTGAGGTGACGGGCATAGATGATCATGAACAGGTACCCCGAGCGCTTGCGGCCGACGACGACGTCTTTCAACTGCACGCAATTTTCCTGGTGCAAACGTTTGAGCAGCTTGATCTCGCGGATGGCTGTGATGGGAAACTATCGAGAGTGTTCTCAGAGACAGAACGAGGTATCAATGAGGCTTCGAAGTACCCCGTCCTGCTTTTCGTTGTGCAGAATCACTCGCTTCAGCGCCACAATCTCACCCGACACCTTGTCCCGAGCTCTGTAGACAGTCCCATAAGTGCCCTCCCCAATTCGGTTCAGCTTCTCGAACTCATCCACGTCCCTGCATGTGCCAAACGCCGTGTCCAAGGCAGCAGTGGATGGCGGTGCCGCTGCTGGTGCTTTGGGTTTCGTTGCCATCGTATGTCAACCTGTCAAACTGAATTTATTATCCGGACGTGCGTCGATCTACGAACTTCGAACTCGTGAAGTCCAGGGTTCGGCTTTAGATCTATCCGGATAACCATTCAGGATCGCGATGAAGCCTCCGATGCGTTTACTCGTGCTCGTGGCGCTGCATCTAGTCCCGACATGGTGCCGCCGCGGTCACCGTCCAATCGTACAACCTGATGGTATGCTATACAAGATCAGATACAGGATAATGAAGACGAAACATATCTCTGTAGGCAACAACGGTGGTTGCATGTTGGCTTTTGGAATCGACGGGCTGCAGATGCCATGTCAAGTCGCTGACTTTGGAGGTTTTGTGAGGCCAAGTGTATCCCAACCAGTGCGGGTGGTTCTTGCAGACCCACTCCACGCATGCCCAAGCTCGTCCTCCAACGTCGTGCCATCTATAAATGCGGATGATGAACCTACGGATGTGTTGGTCGTCGTGGTGCGAGGCGATTGCTCCTTTGTCGACAAGGTAGTGCTGTTCATGGTCGTCGCGTGAATGTGATAGACTCACCCTGCGACAGATGGAATACGTCGAGCGATGGGGTGGCAGGTACATGGTGCTCGTCAACAGCGACAATACCTTTCTTCGCATGCAGACGCCGCAATGGGTCGAGTCGGGGACAGTCGCGGTGGCCGTCCGCCAGAACGATGGCGTTCGCCTGATAGACTTGGCGCGCAACTCCACGACACTTTCGTTTCTGTCTCCATTATTCACCATCACCCTTCAGCCCAATGTTCTTCAGTGCCTGCACCGAATCGAGGCGCTACTTGCCATCAACGCCCCACGAACGGCTGTCGACACATTTGCCCTCTGCGCCCCCCACGCAACCATCACGTCAGTAGTATCGAAGTTCCCGCCCCGTTTGGACCAAACACCTTCCCCCAATGAAGAGTATGCTGGGTTTTATAACCAAGTGGCATCCCTCTTTCGGCAGTCGCCGTTCCACAGCACCGACTTCGTGCGTCACGTTCTGCTCGAGTCGTCGTACTTTGCAGTGTACTACGCCGCCTCGGCAACAGCCTTACAGTATCACAACCTCGGCACGGCTAGCCTCCTAACAGGGCACTTTCACATGGCCGCATCCAACTTCGTCCTTACAAGTACTGCCAACTCTGTCACAACGTGCGACGCAGCCCTGGCGTTTTTTCTCGCAGGGGACTACATCCCAGCGCACAAATGGTATTCCCAATGCAATATAGGTTTGCTCCCTCTTTTGTCAACACAGCGATTGAATATGCTCACGTACTGCTCTTCAGCGGCTTCATCTACCCATTCGTACGACGTTCCTGCCGCGAGTTTGCGGTCATTGTTTGCGTCGCCGCTAACTCCTTCGGACGTCGCATGTCTTGTCGCTGCGACCACAGCAGACACTCAACCCTCCAACGCCACATGCTGCAGCCCCCGCTGGGATGTCCACATGGGCGTAACTTTGCACTTTGACTCTGTGTTTGTCCAGAACTTGTACGAGACAATTACTCTGATGGGGGTGTTCCTGGACGAGCTCGGGGCGTTCCACGAGTCGCTTGTACATTTCGGCCACGGCTTGCGCTTGTGCGGCAAGGCGTCGGGGCTGCATGTAGGTGTTTCTAATATATGGTGATCAAACCATATATAGAATACTTGTTGAGCAGGGATGATTCTCAATGTTTAGATTCGAATGGCCACCAGTGTGCCCATCGTGTTCGACTCGAAAGTCGACATGGACACGTTCATACTCGACTTTCCCCGCCGCGTTCTGAGCCTGGACATGCTAGGCGTGAGCCATGACGTGGCACGCTATAATCGCCCCGAGTTCGCTGGCCACTTGCAATGGACCATCACACCGCCCACCATGTTTGTGGGGTACCAGGTTGGTGTTATAATAAGATGGCTTTTGGCCTTGGAATAGTATATATCGTAAAACGGCGTGTGATACTAAAATATATACCTCACATGAAGTACCTTTCCAGGGCGTGGACGTCGCGCCCCTTCAGGCGGCGGTCGCGACGATGTACGACCGGCTGTACCCGGTCCTCAGCCGCCCCCTCGACAGTCTACCCCCTCCGCCGCTTCAAATCCCCAACAAAACCACAGTCGGGTTCGTCTCGTCCTGGTTCCGCACGCATTCCGTGGGCAAGTTGATTCAACGGGTGATCGAATCCCTCGATCGGTACTTAAGCGTCTAGGTACTAGTCAGAAAGTCACGAGTCGATCGTGTTAGGGACCGTTTTGAAGTCGTGGTGTTTGCCGCCAGCCACTTTTTCCCACTGAAAGGGGACGATGATCCAATCACGACCGCCATTGAGCGAGCCGCCAACCGGTTCGTCCAGCTGCCGTCGGATCAGGAGATGGCGATGCATGTCCTCTTGAGGGAGGACCTGGACGTGCTCGTGTACCCCGAGGTTGGCATGGACGCGTGGGTGTACTTCTTGGCAGGTCGGAGGCTGGCACGTGTGCAGTGTATGTTCTGGGGCCACCCCATCACGACAGGACTCTCGACCATCGATTACTTTATAGCGTCCGGTATCGTCTTCATCGTGCATACAAAATACATACATATATATGCATGTCCTTCATTCCCTGCGATAGAGTCAATACTAGACAATTCCTTGTTTCCATGCTATGATAGAGTACTTTTTTTCCGACTTCTACGACGCTGGCGGTCAACCCAACCCCCACAGCGACTACCACATGTACGGCGGGGCGTCGTACTCGGAGCAGCTCGTGCTCTTCGCGGACCTGTCGACGTACTTTCCCCCCCCCGCCGCCGCCGTCCCCCCCGACCCCTCGTCGTCCGTGCGAGCGATGCTGCATCTCCCCCCCTCCCCCAGTCGCATCTACCTCTGTCCCCAGGTAGTACAGTAGTCCTGGGTCCAACTTGACATCACGAGACAAACATGCGCTTAGACACTCATGAAACTGCATGTGGACTTTGACGCTGCCATCCTCGGCATCCTGGATCGTGATCCAGGCGGGACGATCGTCTTGCTGTACTCGAATAAGCAAGTGTTGTGGAAAGACCAAGTCCACAGGAGGCTCCGACAGTCGACGTTGGGCCGTCGAGTGGTGTTTATCGAGACGATGCCGTACGCCATGTTCATGCAGCTGCTCGCGGCGGTCGATGTGATGGTGGACCCGTTTCCGTTTGGAGGGGGCGTCACCACCCTCGACGCCCTCGCCGTCGGCCTGTACGTTAGTTGTTGTATCGTTTTGCTTGAGAAATGTTAGGCCGGTGATCACGCTGCCGTCGCGCCAGACGGTGCTCCAACTGGCCGCGGGGTTCTACCGGTACATGTCCGTGTCGGACAGTCTCGTGGCGGCCAGCGTGGACGAGTTCGTGACGTTTGCAGTCGCCATGGCCACCAACGCGACGCTCAAGGGGGCGACGCAGGCAGCCATCCGACACCGCTACCACGTCCTCTTCCACGACGACAACTCTAGCAAAACCCACACTGAATGGAACACGTTTCTAGCCAACATCACATGACCACAACGACCCGCAACATACTAGTAGTACTAACTGTATGTATATATATATATATACTCGATATACTTCAAGTATTAATAGATCGAGCAAGTGCTAACTACATTCTAGTACATTCTAGTAGTAACTGGTAACCACATCGTCCAGTGTGTCTGCGTTGGCCAGTCTTAACACATACTACTAGTATACTCGTAGTACATAAAACACTCGAGTCAACAAAGTTCCCGAACTGGGTGTATGCATGTACATATGCAGACAACATTATTGTTGGTCTTAACATGTGGAGTGTGTACGGCTGCACCTACTATTACAGTGTGACTGTATACTATCCAATACTAGTACATATATATGATATGGATGGGGGGGGGCTACAGTAGTATGATCATGTCCCCGCGAGCTACCGGTCCAAGTCGTCTGGGATGACTTCAAATCGACCGAGTTCGTCTCCCCAGGCACTCATTCGGAGGCTGTCCACGGCGGGGTTGCTTAGGGGCGATGACGTGGCACTGAATCGGCCTCGGCTGGCGCGGTCGATCGCGTCAAGAAGGTACGCTTGTTCCGCCAGCGACTGGTTCACTTTGACCAAGCTGTCGCGCAAGTTGTCTGGCCCTCCTTCTCGGGGGGTGCTCACGGGCGTGGTGTTGCGGCTGGTCGTGTCCTTTGCCAACGTCCACGTTGCCTGTGCCCGGCACGAAATTTGCCACAGCTGCGCCGCCATCGGGTCCACATTGTCAAATCTGGTGGTTGACGGCAAACTCATGGCCTTGGCCGACCCAAAGAACGTCTGGTGATGTAGCGTTGACGACGACGACGACAGCAGTTGCATCGGGTCTGTCGTCGGGGCCTTGGCAGACATGCGCGACGCCCGGACCGACAGACGTGGCCGTATGTCTAGGGGCAGGGACGAGCGACCGCGGGAGCCACCTGCCTCATGGTCGAACGGAAGGGGGTTCGTTTCATGGAGGGAGGACCTGTGCATGTGCGGCTGTCTGCCTAGTGGAAGTATGAGAGAAGGGAAGGCTAGTGAGAGTGTATACCGACGGACGGCGGCGGGCGGGAAGGTCGAGGTCTGTATGACACTGAACGGGGCATGGCCACACATCGGAGACACACCTTGGCGCTTCGTTCGAGCCCATCCAACTGGTTGGGCACTGGTCGGACGACTGTACATTTCTTGCACATGATCTAGTTATAGACAGATTAGTCGGAGGAAATCAAATATTATTATTTATATTACTTATAATAATAATTCATAGTTCGAACACGTTTGGTATCAAACTGATTTGGAAAGAAGTATGGCAAAAAAAGCACAGTCCGTCCAACCACGTTTTGACTTTTTGGCGAAAAACGCAATATTTAATATAGAATATTCTCTAAATTTTGGATCCAAACAAAAAGATCCAGTCACACAAAGATACCTCCTCAACTTCGATTTATATGAAATTTCAAAGGGACATTTCAAGTAGACGACCACACATTGAACACTTCTCGCAATGAAAGCACAATGAGGATGTAGATATATATGTATGTACGTACCTCTCCACATGCGCGGCAATGGTGACGACTGCGAAACAACGTAAACGAAGCGCGGCATACGTAGCACGCCCTCCGCGCACTATTCACGCCATACAAGAGTGTGTGTATGTATATCGTTCCAGACAATAACATGTGAATGTATGTACCTGTCGGGAACCCACTGGGACCGGGGCACGAACGGGTGCTTCTTGGCCAATCGATGGCCCTCCAAGATCCCATCCAGCGATCGCATCCGGAGCACCGCCGCCGCCATCCCGCGTTCGACCTGGGACGTTGTAAGATGCAGTTGCTCCATGGAGCCAAAGCACGTGAGCCGCGTGCCCGTGGTCGTAGCTTGAAGGAACATGGTCATGTGCAGACGGGAGCGGCGGAACTTGAGGTGTTCCTGGCTCGGACAAATTTGGACCTCCACCGACGTCCACGTGATATAAGGTAGGTTGTCGCATGTTCCCATGGACTGGAAGAGGCACAAGTCCGTTTGTATGCTTGAGGGAAGTTGGAGGGCGAGCCAGGTCACCGCCGCGAACGTGCGAGGGCCGTCGCCGCCGCTATGGCGGTGGATGCAGTGCAATATGGCCGCATCGACGAACCAATTGGACAAGAACGTGCGGCCCCATTCCCGCAGGGCTAGCGTATTGTCGGCGTACATGACGTCCAAGAGTTCGCTTGGGAGTCCCACGACGTCGACGTGACACGCAAATGAGATGGTGGGGCTGCCGGTACCTCGAGGAGTTTGGGGAGATTGCATCCGTACTCGAATGCTCGCTCCGTCTCGCTCCAGGACAGAGTACCCTTGCTCGTTCGTGCGGAAGGGTTGGCGACGGGAGAATGACGACGACGCAGTGCCGACATGGCTGCTCGTTGTTTCTGCCTGGAGGCGGTTGAGGTCAGCAGTCACTTGGACTCTGGCGGCATCTTCGAAGGCAGCTACTACAGTCGAATGCAATGATATACGGGGAAAGTAGTCGGCAGGTAGCGGCACTGCTGGCACAGCGCCTGACATGATTGCTCGTGGTCAACTGGCAATGACGCTGTCTGTTTCGATCCATTACTCAGTGGGACTGCAGCAGTAACTCGTATCCGTCACTTTACACTGGCAGTGGGAATAAAATTCTCGCGACACTTCGATGGCATACAAAAGTCAAGATAATTTTAAACAACTCTGCTTCGAATCAGATATGTTCAACCTCACAGTAATTAATTACCTGTAAGGCCAAATGTTCATGATACTACAGTATTCATAGTACCTCTGCATCTATTAATCCTAACCCTATCGGACGGAAAGTCAAATGCAAGTCAAGGATACATAAGAATATACCTTGATTATATATGTAGTGTGTCATTCCGTCGGGAGCATTTTCTGCGTGATACTAAGTTAGTTGTTTTTATTGAGAACTCACAAAAGGAGGAACGTACAACTATATGTGAGCCAATACATATTCAACATTGGACTAAACAAGGGATGAACCAATCAGGGTCCACAATACTGACGTTTGATTGGCTTATCCCAGGTGAGAGGTTATATCACCTAGCTAAAAGTGAATAAAAATACACCATTTCTGATCAAAGTACCCCTTGATTAAAGTTCTGGGAGGTAGAATCTCTCACCCTGAACTTTAACAAATGCAAGTCAAGTACTTGAAGTACTACTACCCCCGAAACTACCGTATACCCCCCGCTTCAGTACCTATGATATCTCCGGTTGGACCTGTACCGGTTTGGAACATATCAGCCAATGAAGAACTTTTTCATGGTTCCGGTTGGTCGTGTACCTAATTGTCTCTAATTGGACAGAAATATCCAATCACCATGCGTTAATTAATTTCATCCAATGAAATATAAGTCCTGTGATGGATTTAGACCAATGCGCATGCCTGAATAGTTTTCACCGGTTGTGATCAGATTTCACTGTCATTTTCATAGGTACTGAAGCGGGGGGTATACGGTAGTAATATACTACGTAGTATATTAGAATAGGTTTGATTATAGTGTGGTTTCGTCCAGGTGAGAGATTCTATCACCCAGAGCTTTAATCTCAGGGGTACTTTGATCAGAAATGGTTTATTTTTATTCACTTTTAGCTAGGTGATATAATAATCTCTCACTAGGATAAGCTAATCAAACGTCAGTATAGTGGACTCTGATTGGTGCATCGCTTGTTTACAGTTAATCCAATGTCGAATATGAATTGGCGCATAAATAAGTTACCTGGGCCTAAGCCAATAAGAATTACTCGGAGTACTCGGGGTATCACGCAGAATAAGCTCCCGTGCATCAGGGTTAACAGTAAACGCGTGCCTTGCATTGTTAACACCCCATCCGAGAAGGTTAACGCAATAGGGTGGTCGATAAGAGCTAAGGTTGTCTTATACTCCGGAGTACTAGTAGTACAATTAGTACAGTACTGTAGTAAGCTTACGTGACGTATGGGAGGAAATATTAATACTTACTTCATCGATACGGGTATGATTGTGGGTTCTACTCGAAATTTCAAAGCTCGATTGGTTGAATCGATCAGTGGGGCGGTTTCAGAACCGATCAAAACCTCTGTAATAGAATAGTTTATAGATATACAGAGGTTCCTTTGAGAAACGCCGACGCCACCATCACTGATGTGTTCAAGGCAGCTCACTCCCATCGAGATCAATCGCGTACGCACATGCACCTCCAGTGCAATCGTACAGTGTTTGGTGTTGCTCGCTGATACCCTCCCGTCAGGTCATCGCGCCTGTGTTCGCTCGGATTGTTAACAGACTGTAAGTGTAAGCTAACCTTGAATACCAGTAGACTTGAGCAACGTGTTGTCGTGAAAACACGAGACATAGTACATATTTGCAAGAGAACCTGACACTATAGGCGGTAGGCAAGTGGTAAACAGTGTAGGCGCTCACATGCTGCCATGTCGCCGCGACTTGTTCCCAAGGGACTCGGGGAAATACTGTTTGATTGGCTGAATTAAGGGTCTTTATGGCGAATCAAATCGTGAGGTCGATTTCTTGCCATAATAATCTCGACATAAAGATTCGTTGATATCGCTGATTGGTCCACGCAATCATGGCAATTGCAAGGATGTGATTGGTTCGCTGTATTTTCGGATATCCGGATAATTCCACACGGATCAAAGTTTGGAAAGTGGCGGCGGCGGGCGATGGAACGCACGGGCGAATTTACACGCATCACGCAGCTGTTCTCGGATGCGCCGATCATCATGGCGAGGCACCGGCCACTGTCCAAGTACGCGCGTGTGGCCCAGCAGATCTCGGACGCCATCTCACAGACGGAATCGCTCTTGAAGGATTTATCCAACTTGGCGACGAAAAAGCACATCACGGTCGAAGACGACCCGACTAAGCAGATTTCGGACATCGTGGAGATTGTCAAGAAGTCCATTCCGCCGATGCTCAAGGACATTGAAACATTTGAGGGCGCCGTGGCCGGCGATGTACGTCCACAAGGTGCTTCCTCCATCACGACTTTCACCAAGTGTCATGTATGTAGAACCAACAGCAAAAGCACTTTTACATTGTCTGCAGCTCCCTCAAGACGCGCATGTCCAATTGCGGCAAGGCGTTGCAGGTACTTCCGTCGACGACGACGACAACGATCATCTTGTCCCAGTCCACGCAAGAAGCCATTCTCATGCAGCATGCAACGCCATGCTCGTAGGAAGGCATGCAGACTCGCGCGTCCGTGATCAAGAAACAAAGCGAGCGGCGGACCAAGTTTGGCTTCACCGGTCAAGCGCCGAGCGTGCAAATCTCGACGCCGCTGACCATTCGCAATAAACTCCAGGCAGCGCCAACCCCGTCGTCGTATCCCACATACCAGCAACTATCGCAGCAACATCCAAGCAATGTGTCCGACCCGCACTTGTCTCCGTCCCCTGCAGGCGTACCAGGGGCCGACGCGTCTGCTCCAGGTACACAAAAAATTGGTTCAATTTCGATTGAAATCATGTTAGACGCAGGCATGCTCCGTCGGCGGCCGTTTATGAACCCAAGTGCCGCCGGAGCCTCGTTTGCCCAGCAGCAGCATCAGCAATCCCTCATGCGACACCGTACCGCGCAATCTCGACTAAACGACGCACAGCATATGGAAGCGACGATCGTCGAGGTTGACTCATCTAAGCAAATGAGGTGCTTTCTACTTGATTGCGTAGATTGGAGGCATGTATAGCCGCATGACAGGACTACTGGCCAGCCAGGTATGGACTCTTTAATGGACTACTCATGTGCGACACTGTCTCATATAGGAAGAAACATTGGGTCGCATCGAAGACGACATGACCACCGCGTACGTGTGCTTTGCATTCCCATAGATCAAAGTACGCATCCTAACTGCACTGTTATTGTAGGCACGCCAACGTCGAAAGTGGTTATGTACGTTGTTATAGTGTCCTTCTTGTACCCAAAATTTGGCTGACTATTGTGATGAATCGCCAAATCTATCGATTCTTTTTCTTTTATATGTCATCCAGTGTCACACTAATTGGAGTCACACACGAATTCAATGTTGAATTGGTCCAAGAGTGGAGTATTTGATTGGCTACTTGGTTCTTGATCTGGGTTTTGATTGGTCGATATATTGATTGATTGACTGCCGACTTGGTGATTCTGCTCATTCAATTGAAACCCTCCAATTTTGAATCGACTTGACAATATCTCCGCTGACATATACGTTTGTGACTAGGACGAGCTGATGAAGTACTTTTCCACTGTGAGCTCAAACCGGTCGCTGATCATCAAGATCTTTGTCGTGCTCTTAGTCTTCACCTACCTCTTCCTCGTGGTGTTGTAAATATAATAAGGAAACATATCAAACACTGGACTCTCAAAATACTCGCATGTCCAAATTTATTGTAACTTTACTATTAATAGTATCATAACTATAAATTGTACGCTATATATACTTCACATGCGCGCATGGGCGATGGGCGTCGGCGCGCTAGTCGCCGCAGGGGTGACCAGCTCCCTCCCCCTTGACGGCTGGTACGACTGTGCTTACTTTACGTTTGGACGGCGCCGCCGGCTAGATGCCTCCGCTCCCCCAAGCGTCCTCTCCACCTACCCCTGGACGCCGCGAGGGTTCTCCAAACATGCCACCGTCGGCCGCCAACGCACTGCCACGTCCGCCGCCGCGGCGGGCTCGACGCCATCAGCTCAATGTGCCACGATCACAGTGCCGCTGTGTCATGATGGCGTGTGCAGCAGCGTCCGAACCATCGACGTCTTTGTCAAGCGCATTCCGGCAGCATCCGGAACCAACTCGACGTCCGTGTGGCTCGTGCAGGGGGGGCCAGGGGCGTCCAGCGTCGCGAGTACGTTGAGGCCGTTGGGTGATTATTCGGCCGCGATGGTGATATTGTATCTATGTCCTCGTAGTGGAAGGGTTTCTCGTCGACTGGTACACGCGCCTCAGGGGCCAAGTAAGTGTATACACGATGGACCATCGGGGCACGGGGCGAAGCGAGCTTCTCGGGTGCGACGCGACGCAGACGGAGACCGCGGGGAGCGTGGGGGGGTCGTCTGTGACGCTGTCGGAACTGCCGGCTTGTTTGCAGTCCATGCAACGCCGCTACGGTACGTCGAGTCGACTTGTCATGCAGTGCTAGCTAGTTACAAACAGCGACGACGTGTAGACTACCAACCGGTGGCGTTTTCCATCACGAGTGCGGCCAAAGACGTCGCGGCAGTCATCGCGGCCCTTGACGACGCCCACGTGTTCCTGTATGGCGTGAGCTACGGCACCGCAGTCGTCGAGCGCGTCATGCACTTCAGTCCGTCCGTCGTGAGAGGGTTCGTCCTCGACGGCGTCCAGTCGGAAGCGTTCCCGACATGGGCTGACGCCCCCACGTTTACCAACTGGGACCGCGACTTCAGCGTCGTGGGTTAGCATCTACATATATCTCCTCCATATTGTAGACACATTTGAATTGGTTGCTGTAGCCGGGCGGTTTCTGGACCTGTGTCAAGATGATGCGTATTGCCGACCCAAGTTTGCCCCCCTGGGGGGATTGCGCCCGGCACTGCTGGAACTATACGATGGACTCGACGGTGGAAGTCACAACTGTACTGCGTTTGTCAAAACCTGGGGCGCACCGGACGACGCCCCGCCGTCCAGCACCCTCCGGACACTGTTTGGGTCGTTTTTCCCAGACATGACGCTGCGACTGCTCCTTCCAGTGTTCATCTACCGCCTACATCGATGCACGTCGAACGATATGGACGTACTGACGTTTGCCCTCGATCAAATGTATGGAGGGGGAGCTTCTTCTTCGCCAGGAGACGGCGGCGACGACGCACCCGACTCGGCCATGCTGTACAAGACCATCGTGTACTCGGAGCTGTGGCAGCGTCCGACGCCCGGCCTCCTGGACCTGTACCAGGACTTTGCCGACTCCACCATGAGCAGCGGCATCTATCCCCAGGTGGTCGAGTACTGCATCTTCGCAGGCGCCACGTCGTCGGAACAGAACTGCGCCGACCTCGGAACGATGCTGCCGGACGGGGTCGATGCGTCCGTCAACTTCACGTACACCCCCGACGCGTACTTCAACGTCACCGCCGCCATCCCACCGCACGCTTCAGTGGTCGTCCTGAGCGGTAAACTGGACGCCCAAACGCCGCACAAGTACGCACTCGACCAGTTTCAGCGCATGACTGGAACGGCCAAGCGGCTGTTCCCCTTTGACTATGCCGCCCACGGCACCATCGTCACAACCCCCGTGGCCACCACCCCGGTATACGACGATATACGCTTTAAAAACGGGCGATCAATGATGGATTGGTCGCGCTTTGCTCGAAGAAGCGCGCGTGTGACTTATGATGGATATGGATAGAACAATCCGACGTGTGCCGTGTCGTTGATCGTGTCGTATGTGCAGAACCAGGGGGATGTGGACAAGATCGACACGTCGTGCCTTGCCCGCGTCCTGCCGCTAGTGTTTCAGTGGACACAAGGTGCCGCCAAGGACACGTTCAACGTCACGGACGCTTTCGACGGCGTCGTAGGCCAGGACGTACCAACAACCCCGCCGCCATCGACCACGTCCGCCATCCCTCCAATGCACACTGACGAAGCCACAGTATCGTACTTGACAGGACTAGTCGTTGCATGCGCAGTGCTCGGCGTGCTCTCCCTCATTCTGGTGGCGCTTCTCAGAACACTCCATAAACTCTCGCGGCTGGATGCCGTCAGTAGTGTTGCAGTTGGCAAAGTCTAAAGATATGTCACATGGTCGTAATGTCATGTCACTTCTTTTACCGACTACCTATCCGATAGATAAGGTAAAACCGGGTATTACCTATGGACTGTCGGGTAATAGGGTCGGATGCGATCTTTTCGTCGAATGGGCAGATGCGCGACGAAAGAACGGTGACTCACCATGCTAATCAGCTTTGTCGAGGTCGATGGTCATCTGTTCTACTGCCCCCTGGCAGAGTTTAGCTCCACGTACGACACTCCACGCTTAGAGGGTCGTCTGGTCGTGGCAGACCCGATCACGGCCGAAACTCCACTGAAGAATACCAAGGACGTAGCTGGGAAGATTGTGCTCGTGCAGCGAGGAGGATGCGACTTCCTGAGCAAGACCATTCAGGTCCAAAAGGCTGGAGCGGTGGCGATCATCGTAGCAAACACAGACGAGGAGAACCCTCAGCTAGCGTTCGTCATGGACGCTGGTCTCACGCGATCTGGCATGAACGCCAAGATCCCGGCGTTGATGGCTCCTTTCGCCACGGCCCAGCACCTCTTGGACTTGGTCGGGGAAACTAGCGGCATGAAATTGAACGTGTCGATCGTTCTTCTGGATGCTACGGAGGCGTCCGCCGTCTTAGACGCACAGGAGCGCGGGCGACAGCAGCGTGCGAAGGAGGCTGATGCGCTGCGGATGCAACAAGAGCGTGAGAAGAAGCAACGGGAAGCCACCATGTTGCTACGCAGTCGTCTCGTCAAGGACAACCAGGTCGCGAAGGCCTTGGTTGACCAGATCATCCCCCCTGTCACGGTACAACTCGCACCCTCCACAACATCTACGTTGGCCGAGAGTGACGACATCAGCATGTTCGCACCAGTGCTCGTCCCTGCTGCGCCGCCAGTAGCTCCATCTACAGCTCCGTCTGCTGGCGCCATGACCGCCGAGCCTGTGAAGATCTCGTCAACGTCGTCGTCCAAGCTGGATGGTGTTATTCAATCCAATACAACTGGACTTCTGGTGCTAGATGTGCAGTACTACTGCGCGATGCCACATGTGGGCAAACACTCCAACATGGATCGAGCTACCAGCAGCAAAGAATACTATTTTGACCGGATCAAATCCACGATGGTTCCCAACATCCAGTCCATCTTGCACATCCTGCGACAACGGTCCATGGAGGTTGTGTACGCCACGATCGAAAGCATGACCAAGAACGGCCGCGACCGAAGCAAGGCGCACAAGATGGCTGGAATTCACGTGTCCAAGCACAGCTTTGACGCCAAGGTGCTCGAGAGCGTCGCACCCACCGACTACGATATTGTTATTCCACGTACAGCCATCAGGTGTGGCCTGACGTACTGTATCGCATTGCTACAGCTTGTTCAAGGGAGTGATGTGTGTATATGTGTAGTCTTCTAGGCACAACCAACGCCGACTACATCCTGAGAAACCTCGGCCTTGCCTGTCTTGTACTCGTGGGGGTGTCCACCCTCGGCACGTTGGAGGCGACAGTGCGTGACGCCTTAGACCGAGGTTACACGGCGCTGGTCGTGGAAGATGCGGTGGCGTTTGACACTCCTGAGGAACATGCAGCGGTCATGAAGAGCGCAGCGAAAATGGGTGCTCACGTCTTGCAGACCCGCGACTTTCTCGTTGAAGTCCAAGCGACGTGCCCACCGCGGCTCGCAGTGGACGCCGTTTCTATGTAACCGTGTGGAATAATGTAACCGTCACTGGATGACCCATTTAGTGCCCATTTTTAACCGGAGAAATCCATGTAACTGTCAATAATACCAGTTTACTACCTTCCAACAACGGCGACCAACATTTCGTTGCCCCAGTTCGGGTGACACCACCATGATGGAAGCGGACGCTGCAGTGGACGACGACCTAATGCATGGACCAGGAGCAGGCTACCTCTGGGTCGTATCGCCACCCACGGCAAACAATGACGACACCCCCCAGCGTTTTTGGTTTGAAATCACAACGTTTTGCCTACAGGTATCTGCCACTTTCGTCCATGATTGAGCAGGTAGACGGGATATGTTCATAGTGGCGGGTCTCGCCACGCTCAGAACAACACGCAGCCAACTGTCTCCTACTCACCGACGTCACGCAAGTCGCACCCGTCGGCTCGACAAACTTGCGCGTCGCCTCCTTGTCGTCGACACTCTTGCTGAAAGCGCCAACCCGCGACGTCCGCAACATGTGGCTACGAAGCGTGGGCGATGCTGTGTTTTGCTCTGGCCGTCCTCCCGGTGCCACTCCTGCAGACATGTTGCACGAGTGCATGGTACGCATGTGCCTACGAACCCCTCTGGTCGTCTCATGTGTGACAGAGCAAGGGCGATACAGCGTACTTGCGCCACATTCTATCGACCCACGCATCGTTGGCCGCATCTGTCGACGACGACGGCAACTCTCTTCTTCTACGTGCGTATCCTTTCATCTCCCCAAGTCACAGCGCTGCGTAGAAGCATGCAAAGGCGGTGCATCGGTTGACGTCCATTACACGTTGCTGCAATATGGCGTCGATCCCAGTGCTGTCAACTTGGAGTGCGTCGCCGTTCAGTCCATTCATTTCCACCACCCAATATAATGATGTCATATGCCTAGAGACGAATCGCCGCTCGTTCTCGTGGCCGCGTCCGGCGCCGTGGACCTCATTCGCCTCTTTGTGGAAGTACGCGACTCGAGCCATTCCCCACCATCCCCTTGCCGTCATGTAACTGTCGCATATCTAGTCTGGACGAGTGCATGTAAACCAACGGTGCGCCAGCGGCATCACCGCCGTCCTCGCCGCGGCGTCCACGGGCCAAACCCTCGTACGCCCCCATTCATATGCCAGCAAAGCAGTTAAAAATGAGAAAGCGGTGGCTTTTTCTAGTGCCTTCAACTGCTCGTCGACTATGGCGGCGACGTCGGCACCGTTGACGACCGAGGGTGGTCGGCCCTGCATTACGCGGCGGCGTGCCCCCGAGGCGTCCATGCTGTCACGTGGCTGTGCGAAATGGCGCCGTCCCTCGTCCACTCGCCGGCGCACCACGACGGACACACGCCGCTGCATGTTGCCGCGCGCTTTGGGTCTGTCCTTCTTGATGGCGTTGTTCGCTTCTACGGTTAAATATGACACTGCTGTAGCTACGACGACATCGTGTACGTCCTGCTGCAGTTTGGCGCGTCGGTCGAGTGTACGAACCACGACCTGGACACGCCACTGCACGTGGCGATGGCCCACCGACACGCAGCCACCACGGCCATGCTTCAAGCGATGGCTTTTCCATCTTGTACAGTGTCTCTACCCTGTGACGTGGCACGCTGCTGACAGATTAGACAGTGGTAGATGGAGACAACACCCAAGAACATTGGGGCGTGCCATACTACGAAGAAGAGCAAAAAAGTGCGACGACGATGGACAGCCAGCCAAATTCCGTGGATGAAACCATCGCCCATGCGTGGGTGGCGTGCACAACGGAGGATGGACAAGCGTACTTTTATAACACGGTCACGTTCGAATCGGTGTGGGAACTGCCCGAGGATGCATCTGCGACACTGCAGCATCAGGACGGGGTCGTCTCGGAAGATGGACATGGGCACGGCCCTGGCGGACACGGAGATGAGCAGCTTCTGCTACCCATCTGCATGGTCCCGACGATCTGTCCGTTGTACGAAATGGACAACCCCGATGTCCACGCGAAGGAGATGCTGCGGCGGAAGAAAGAGCGAGAGACGCGACGAAGTAGTCGAAGCAAGCTGATCGTGCCCAGAAGCGATAAGCCAAAGTAAAGACATTGGAATCGAAAGGAAAGACATTTGAATCGTGTGACTAATAGGCTCGCGGGTAGTCCGGATATGAGAGTCTCCGGATAACGATGAGGTAATGAGGCCGTTTGTCGAAAAACGCGAAACGCATCGCGCGGACGTGCTCAAGGTACGAATGCCACGAATACGACCATGGCTGATGGCATGCAGGATCCCACGCTGCGTCTCAGGCGAATCACGACACTCAGCACTGGGAAGTTGAAGCATCTACTGCGCCAGAGACGACTGTCCACTGCAGTCTCGAATGAAGTTCGACGTCGTCATCGACATGTCCGTACAACAAACCGCAGTGGATCGTAAGATCCATGCATCTCCCACGTCGACAGGCAGGTCATTCGTGGGCAACACGTCCCACTACGCCGTGTGCCTGTGGCTCAGCCTGTGGTTCGCTCTCAACATGACTGTGACGATCGTGAACAAGCAGGCACTAACTGTACTCAATCTTCCCGTGACGGTACTACCGCCACGATCGTTCATCTGGTCGTCCTTACCGTCATATACGCAGCTCACGTGTGTGCACATGGCATGCAACTCCATCGGCGCCTACCTGTACGTGCATTTGAGTTGCCGCGGGGGGGCTCGTGGGCGGCCGCTGCCGTTGCGACCCGACCAAGCCATCACCATGTTCTTCTTCAGGTACGTCGCCACCACCGGTAATACCGTCAGTGGAATCACATCCATACATATATGCGTTGCAGCTTCATCTTTGTGTCCAACATCATCTTGGGCAATTGGAGTCTGGGGCTCGTGAGTGTGAGTTTGAACCAGATCATGCGAGCCCTCGTACCCGGCACCACCGCCGTCCTCAGCACCGTCGTCCTCCACACCACGTACACGATGGCGCAGATACTCGCGCTCGTTCCCATCGCGTTGGGAGTGTACATCGCATGCTCACGAGACATCGCTTCCACGCCCATGGGTATCGCCATCACGGCCCTCGCCATCCTGTTTGCCTCGCTCAAGTCTGTTCTCTCCAGCAAAGTAAGCCACTCCAACGTCATATTATTCGTAATGAACACATCGAGTGCGTGTAGTTCTTGACTGGTCATGTGACAGTAACTCCCGTCCAGTTGATCTTGCACCAAGCGCCGCTCTCGGCAGTGTGGTGCGCCGTCGTCATGATCCTTGGAGGTACACGAGGCATTATATAATATACACTAGAATGCCAATATTATTTATAGATATAATTCTGCCTGGTGTATATATATTTTGCAGGCGAGTGGGACGTGCTGCAGTCGACGCCGTGGGATGTCGTGCGTCCTGCCGTGGGGCTGTACGTTGTCACAGGGGCATTCAGCTTTGCTCTGAACGTGACCAGCTTCGCCGCCAACAGGTGCACGTCCGCTGTGACACTGGCCGTGTGTGCCAATGTCAAGCAAGTCGCGGTGGTGGCGCTGTCCGTGGTTATTCATGGCGATGACGTGGTGTCGGGGCAGATGCTGTGGGGATGTGCCCTCGTTGTTATTGGCGGGGTGTGGTACTCATACGTGGCCCACCACCCGTTCACCAAACAATTGTCCAAGTCGTAGTCTTATCAATAACAATATGGATATCTATTTAACACATCCGTTGCATGCCACCGATGAACGTTGTCACACATACCACCACCACCATGTACTACGACGTACTGCGGACCCTACTCGGCTTCCTTTCGACGACGACTAGACACAACAAACACACAAAAGTCATGAATATATATAAGTGGTTTCCCGATATATATACTATATATATCGGGAAGCCACTATCTCAAATGCCATCGTACCTGGCCGTGGGCGGTCGTGTCTTTGTTGACTTCTTCCCAGTCTTGTCCTTGGATCGAGTCTACACATATCCAACGTCATCTCACAGATCAGTTTAACGCCCAAAGTGGCTCGCCATGCTTCTACCTCCTTGTCGTCCGTGTCGCAGGACATGGTAGGTCCACTGGCGCCGCTGTCCTTGTCGTCGTTGCTTCCCTGCATATTCTCGTCCAGCACGATGATCTCCACGTCATCTTCGTTGGACGCGATTCGGTCCAGCCAGAACCCCATCATGCCGCTCTCGTAGTCCTTGGTGCGGCGCTCCGGCATCTCCAGCTCGAGCACGATCACATTATCGCCTTTCCACCGGGGGTTGCCGCGGTCCAGTTGGCGGTTGCGTCGGGCAAAGTCGGTTTCTGCCCGACGGACGCCTCGCCGCGCCACCGGTCGCTTCGGGCGGAGGCTCGTGGGGCGCGTCTCGAGGTGCTCGAGCGTCCACTCGTCCGCGTCAGGGTCCCACTTGCTTCGCTTTTCAATCGCATACGCGTCGTCCAGCGGTACAAAGTGCTGCAGAAGCACCTGCTTGATCTTGAGCTGGCGCGTCAGTTCGCGGATCGTTTCGAGCATGTCCTCCTTCTCCGTTTGAAACTCGGCGCGCAGGTCCTCGATCTCGGTGGACGCGGCCTTGTGCTTGGCCCACAGCTTCTTGAGCTTCTTCGTCTTCACGTCAACCTCTTCTTGGAGCGAAGAGAACTGCTCCTCGAGTACCATGTTGGAGTCTTCGCGCTCGGCCAACTCTCGCGCCAGCTGCATCTCTTGCCGCTTCTGTTCGTCGACCTTTTGCTGTGCGTCACGTAGCTCGAGCTCCTGCTTGGCGGCCTTGTCCATGAGCTGTCCGCCCACGATCACCTTGTGCTCGTACTCCTCCAACTGAGCCAACATCTCGTGCTTCTTCTTCTCGAGCTGCTCCTTTTGCTGCGCTTTTTCCTGCAGCTGTGCCGCCAGTCGGTCCCGCTCCTCTTCTGTCTTGGACTGTGACGCCAGCAACGCCTTCATCTCCACCTGCGCCTTCTTCTTGAGCTCGTTCTTCTCACGCACTGCGTCTTCTTGCAGTTTCTTGAGCTCGTCTTCACTCACTCCTTCGCGCCGCACGATGGTCTTTTCAATGATCTACCGGTAGTGTATGAATATTATGTACATGGCGTTCATTTTGCTTGTATCAGCACATGTGAGCCATGCATGGCTAACCTTTTCAATGATCCGTGGCGCCGCGGCCTGCATCATTGTCGTCTTGCCTTCCTTGCCATCGACCATGGCGTGCGGGCCCCCTATCCCCATGCCCTTTTCCTGGGCCGCCAATGCCTCGCGCAACTCTTTGATCTTGTCCTGAAATTCGCGAATTTTCGCATCTTTCGGGTCTTCGTTGATCTTGGGCTTGTTTTTGATGTTCTTGGCCCGATTCGCATATCGCAATGTGGACAGCGTTTCGTTGTAATTGTAGTCGGCGGGGCCGCAGTTGGCAATCATGACGGTCTTGGCGTTGCCACCCAAACTGTCTTGGAGCAGCCGCGTGAGCTTCGAGTCGCGGTACGGAATGTGCTGCGACTTGCCGTCCACGAGGGCTGAGATGACGTTCCCGAGTGCAGACAGCGACAGGTTGATCTTGGTCGCTTCCTTCATGCGGTCCCCCGTCGCGCCCGTCTTGGCCTGCCGCTCGCTGCCCGCCAAATCCACCAAGTTCAGCTTGCCCACGCAAATGTGATCTTTCCCATCCACGCCCGTCGTTGCCGTTTCCACGGTGATAATAAACATGGAATGCGACCGCGACGACGTTTGGTTCATGAGTGTGGCGCCCACCGATCGATTCTTCTTGCCTACGTACAATGATGTCACATAACGTTATTCAATCCACATGGAAAACAGACGCGATGGTCGTACGTACCGTGCTGCATGACAGCGTCGATCTCAGCGACTCCCGTGACCTGGCGCGAGATCAAATCCTTGACGTAGATTCCCGTGTCCATGTTTTCCTTGAGTTCGAGGCGGTTTTGCGGGTCCGCCGCCAACAAGTCGCGGATTTCTTCGTTGTAGATCTCCAAGTACGACGCGTACACCATGAACTGTGTCTTAGGGATGGACCCAATCTTGTCGAAAATGTGCTTGAATGAGTTGGGGATGATCCCGCGCAGTTCGGGCGGGTCGTTGTACCCTTCCATCGTGTGCGACTTGCCCGCGCCCGTCTGGCCGTACGCAAAGATGGTGCCGTTGAATCCGTCCACGACGCTGTCGACGATGTCCCGCGCAGCATGCTGGTACACATCCATTTGCTCGCTGTCGTGACCAAAGGAAGCATCGAACGTGAACTTTTTCGGTGGCTCGCGGTCGTCGGACTCTGGGTTGTTGAGTGAGATCTCACCCTCTTCCGGCTTCGAGAACACGATGTACGTTCGTCCATCCTGCTTCTCCTTCGTGCTCAACGGACGAATGCGCACGACGACCTTGACGCTTTCGCTTCGATTGGACATGGCGACTCGACGACCGCCGCAGGATTTGTTTGGGCCGTTTTGAAAGGTGGCGACTTTTCAAGCGCAACTGCAATGTGATTGGTCCATGACAAATCCTTGTATATGATTGGTTGATGAACTTCAACTTACTTAATAACACATAAATGAATTTTCTATTATATTTATACAATAGATTTAAATGATGGATTTAGTCGTGTGCCTTGGCCAATTATCAACATGAGCTTCTCAGGGTTTGCACTCAAGGGAAAGAAGAAGGGAGCGACGGCGGCGGGATTGGCACAGAAGTCGTCCCTTGGAGGATTCCGTGTAGAGAAGGAGCGAAATGTTGATGAGAAGAAGGAGATCGTGGTGGGCTTCAGCACGTCCGGCGATGCCCTGCTGAAAGAACCTTCGGTAGGGTCCAAGTACGGACCCATGGTCATTCCATGCATCAAGGTGAACTGGACCGAGGACCAAGCCGCCGCCGAAGCGCTCCTGGCAGATATTCGAAATAGTTCGCGACAGGAACAAGAAGAATCAGAGGAGTCGACGCTTGTGATCCCCATCGCTGGAGGCACCGTCGAGAACACTTCCGACATAAACAAGAAGGATGCGCCGATGCTCACGAGGAATCGTATCCCAGGCATGGACAAGATCGTGGGGGAAACCAACAAATTCAAGCACGACCTGTCCATGCGACCAGACGAACTGGACATCCACAGCGACGCCTTCGACGCCGTGCCGATCGAAGAGTTTGGCGCGGCGCTGCTCCGCGGGATGGGTTGGACCGGCAAGGATCGTGTGGAGCCCACGGGGTCCAAGGTTCAGATGCGGCACTACCGATTGGGTCTCGGCGCCACCCCCAAGCCCGTTATCGAGGCGCCGAAGAAGAAGAACTTCATCCCAAAGCCCGAGCCCCGCGAGCGGAGTTCACATCACGGCAATAGTAGTAGTACTAGGAACGGTAGCCGGACTAATGGGCACAAGCGCAGTCGTAGTCGCAGCCGCGATCGGTCGTCTAAAAAGCGCTGACCTATTGTGCATTCCTGATAAACTTGGCAATTTTGTGCAAATCGCCAGCAAATATCCGCGATGACATGATTGGCTCAGATTTCGAAGAGTTTTGGGCAGAAATGGACATTCACCTGAGATTTCCACAACTGCCTGGGGCCAGTACGACGAGGTTCAGTCGCACGTTGCGGTAGCGCGGGCGTCCAGTTGGCCTACTCGGGATGTATGTGTGTACATGCGGTGTACGTGTGTGCTGGGGACTCTCATACGAGGCCTAAGCGCTCACTTGCTACAGCTGCAAGATTGGGAAACTGCGTCATAATAGGGTAATTCATACCGAATGTTTGGTAACGTTATTGTGAATTTGCTATCAACTTGCAAAATTCGCGTGGTTTGTCTAATCAATCATGAATCACGCTGGAGTTCTGATTGGTTGAATATCTGTAATAGCCAATCAAATCCACTCAAAAATGGATTAGCCAATAGCGTCGATTCGTGATTCGAGAGATTCGATTCGACGGGGTCTGGAAATCTGTACCGAATCCACAATCATTATTGGGGTCATTTCGCGGGCATTTGAAAAGTGTGGGCTATTTCAGAACCGTGGAAATGGTTTTTGAGAACCTGTTACTTCCAAGTACAACATACAATACTTACACGTTATATAAAGTACTACAGTAGTACTATAATACGCAGCAAGTAGTACTATTAATACATCTACAGTCCTGATGTAACTATAGATTTTTGACATTTCTCAAAAATTATTTCGATTTGAAGCTCGCTGTTGTTTTGACGACTTGTTAATGGAATTTCACGGCATCATATTGGACAAAATTGGACAATCAATGGTTTTCGATTGGGTACGTAGTGTGTATGTACGTAGTATTAATACTAGTATACAATAAATACTATTAATAGTAACGTTAGTCCGATAAAAAATACTATAATAGTACCTTTTATTCAGTAACATACTCTGGAGCACATACTTTAATCAAGTCAAAAAGAAATAAGAACAATTGGACTAAGATTACGGATCAGAGAGTAGTACTGTCGTAGCTATAGCCCCTTGCTTGTTATTGATACAACCAAGAATACAGTCGTATATCATGGTTTCTTGTCCAGAAAGCACGGAAAGAGGCGCAAGTTGGGCAGCATGTTGAGCCCTTCCATGCCCTTTAAGAACGGTTTGTTTGGGGTGAGCCAGTCGTCGAGCAATAGCCCCTCCGTGTACGACCCGGGGGTGATGGGGTTAAACTGGTACGCGCTCTCGGGGTTGAGAGACCACATGTACGCGCCGGCGTACTTGGCTTTGACCAACGACTCGACCACAAAGTCGGTCGTGCGCCGGGTCGTGAGCAGCGGGTGCTTGTCGTTTGTGTAGAGCCCGCCAAACTCGCCCATGACCATCGCCGCGTCGTTGCCGGCCAAGAACCCAAACATGGCGTACATGGAATCTGCCACACGGGTACGAAGCCTGTCGTCCGATAGCTCCACCATGAGTTGCCATTTGCCATCGTAAAAGTAGTCTTGCGGTGACACGGCCGTCTACGCGGCGAGGTGGGGTCTCTCTCGATAACGAAATATACATACCGTGTAATAGTGTGGCGAGTACACGAGTTTGTGGGGGACGTTGAACTCGACGGCTTTGGTGGCGGCGCCCTGGAGCCCCCCGCCCCACCAGTTGTAGTACACCCACGACTTACCGTCAATGATGCCGGTCTGGGGCCCGCCGTTGATGCCTTCGACGAACCCGACCCACTGCGGACACACGGATAGCATGTGGTTACCCAGCTTGGCGGCCCCTAGCGCCCAGTCCGTGGCGGGGATGCCGTCGCCCCATGTGGCCAGATGGGGTTCGTTTTTGAGATCGATGCCAATGACATTCCAGTACGTGTCCGAGCACAGTCCCTTGGCGAGCAAGTCGAACGACTTGAGCACGAGCGCTTCGGGGATGTTTTTGTCGTACCAGAGCCCCCCCGAGTTGTCGTTGGGGAGGAGTGTGTGCATGCTGATGAGTACCGTGATCTGGCGGTACCCCATCGCCTGAACGATGGACTGGATCGTGGTCATGTAGCTCTTGAGGTTCATGGCGCGGTTGGCCTGGCGGTTGACGAGGCCGACGGCGGGGGGCGTGTCGTCGAGGAGGTGGCCCACGGATACAGGTAACCGGACGCTGTTAAACCCGTTGCGTTGGAGGAACGATGCAATGTCAAACTATATCCCAATATTAATATATCGTACCAATATATATATATATATATGTATATTCGAGAGTATTTCGAAGGAATAAATCATACATTCATGCTGTCGCCCCCATTTACCACATGGTGGAGGATTGTGGACAATACATCCTCAAGAAATACACAGTATATGTTAGATTCGGTCCGAATTACCGAATTTGGGACAATGTGATTGGATGAGAAAAAAGAAGGTTGCCATATGATTGGCTCAAACGTATGAAGAATCACAAAACTATACTCGTAAATAACAAGGTTGCCATATGATTAGGTAAGTCTGAAGAATCACAAAATATACCTCTTAAACTAAATAGATATCGTATTTCGCAGGTTTGGCGATACGACATACAATCAAGACACGCAAGCATATAAAGTGCATGAAACGCAGGGAACGAGTCGTACCACGGTGGTGCCGTTCTGGTCGTTTTGCCACAGCCCAAATGGCACGGCGTTGAGGCTAATGACGAGATAAGGTAAGTGTAGTTTAACCAAGAGTAGTTAGTATTTTAACAGCAGGAGCTGGTTTCACACATACACTTACGTTTCCATGCCAAACCAGTTGACGCCCTTGATCCCCACGGCGACTTCGGTGCCGTTGGGAGACACGGCCACGATCTGCCCGTTCTTGCTCTGGTAGTTGGGCAAAGAGCAACCTGCCCAAGAACACGATTATTACGACTGTATATGGAGCATATGAATGGAGAACGCACTCTTCGTGGTGTACGTGCGGGGGTTGTTGACCACGCCGTCGTCCGCCACCTCGGAGATGTCGTCGCCCAGACCATCTTGGATCGCACGGCGCTTGGCGGCGGCGGCTTGGACGGATATCATGCGGGATTTTGAACTGTCGTAGGACTTCTTGGCGCCGAATGCAATGGCGACGGAGCTAAGGGTAAAGATGGACAAGAGAAGCATCAGACCTGGCCACACACGAAGGCGGCCCTTGTAGTCCTTGGGCGACTCAGACCGCGAAGTCTCTTCCACGTATGTGATGGTAATGGGCTGCACCCCACGGGACGGTAGATCGTACAGTCTGTAGTCGGACGTGGCGTCGACGTCTGTCGGACGTTCAAACACGGTCGGGTGCGCCGAGTACTGTGTGTTGATCCCGGTGGGTCGGGACGACAAGGATGAGCTAGGAGGGTTGTCGTGGGAACTGGAGTGGTAGCTGTTGGAGTTCTCTGTGGACGCGGTGATGTACACGTGGTCATCACCTTCTTCGCCAATACGTAAGGGCGCTAGAACGACTTGGTGGTCTGGCTGGACGACATCCACTTCGAACCGAGCGCTGCGGTCGTCGCGGGTGAACGCAATAGAGCCTCGAGAAAACGATGCCCCGAGATCATTCGTGGAGCGACGAGAGTCCTCCATGCCACAAGCAACAACAAGAAGAGTGAGGGAAGTCGCGAATGCAAGCGGCAAGAAGCTCAGCCAAGCCAGCCCCAAACGAACGAAAGTTCATGTTACTCAACGTGGGGAACTGGGAACAACCGGAAAACCACATCTGAGTTTGGGCTAAACCGGTTATTCCCACAAATACTTCGAGTGGCCTTCGTCACGACTGATGGGATGCTTAAGGCCACGATGGCCGCGGCGGTCTACGTCAAGGACCAGCGCCACGCCCTTGAATGAATTTGCCGCATCATCGTGTGCATTTCCATGGCCATCACCTTGCATACAATGACTACGAAGAGTTCATGGTTGGTGATGTATCCAACGTGTATCGGTCCAACTTCGATTTATCATATACTACCATATGGAAGTCAACTTCCACGGCAGCAAGTGGTTCACGTCGACAAACAAACGAGTTGTATCTGAATCTACTTATCCGTGGTCTTGCTTTGATAACGAACTGTTGGAACTGCTACATGTGTTGTTACTGTAACATTGTAAAGTAGAAACACCACAAGTAAGAAGTGTTATGAATAGTACCGGGTACTTGAAGTACCTCGAAGTATTAAGACGTGCTAGCGTTGTTTTACAACTTACTGTAGCATCGCGACAAGTACAGTACAATTCCCTCATAAAAGAGGTCCACTGTTGCTTTCTCAGACAATACTGTATTTTGGAGTGTTTATATAGAACTATGTATCCTCATCCGGATATACTGTATATACAGTAATATTTCCCTAATTGATTCGTGGAACTGTTTTACAGTTAATGGGGGAATCAACAATATGTGCGCCGGAAACAATATCCGGATCATTGTGTATCCGGATACATCCATCCATCCGGATAAGCGTCGAAATGGGCGATGCTTCTGAACAGTCGTGAAGCACAGATACGAAATCGTCGGTACCCCTTCGAGTAATCCGGGGTATGAAAGAATGAACCATCCTGGCAATGTTCGAGAACAGCTTCACATGGACAAGCAGCAGCTGCAGCACTTGAATAGTGGCCATCTCAATACCACCGACGGGACCAACAGCGATCATCCCGGGCAGCTGCCGTCATCGCAGCACCCAGCAAATCGCCACCACCACCAGCACAACCAACATCAACACCAGCAGTCATCGTCCCCACTGCCTTCTCATGTGTACTCGACGTCTCAAACAACATGGACGGCCCAAGAGCTGCATCTCCTCCACAAAGGCTTGACGGCGTTCCCGTCCGAACGCTACGACAGCATCACACGTTGCATCAAGGTCGCGTCGACAATTCCAGACAAGTGCATTCGAGACGTCGCGTGCAAGATCCGAAGCATTCACACGTCTCAAGCAAAGCAGGCCATGCACCACGACCAGCGGGCGATGTCGCCCATGCCGCCACTATCGTCGTCCAAGCGGCAAAAGCTCGACAACAACGTACGGCGGTCAGCGGTCACTTGAACGCTCAGAACTGCTCGTGTGTAGGACTTGCACATGGTGCCTCTCACGATCAAGAAGGAACCGGTGCTATCCCACGAAGACGCGGTCCGAAAAGGCCTTCAGGTGCTCCTTCTGTTATTAGTTCTGTCCTTTTAATATGGCCGTCGGTCGTGATAACTTCAGGAGAATGACCACACGCTGCATTCGATGCGGGCCAACTTGGCGTCGGGTCAGTTGCGAAGCAACCTCGAGCTCATGGCGCACTTCCGGGGAACTTGCAACGCCGTGCTCAAACGGTATTGAGTGTTTGGTTTACACGTCTCTCATGTCCACAAGTAGACTTGGCGCCATGTGCCCCGCGGTGCCGCCACTTCCACTACACCTGGACATGTCGTTGCTGCAATCTCATCCCACACCGCCGGCGTCATCACACAACAACCAAGACGACGTATAGCTTGTTTGGGAACGGACGTTTATAGAGATACATTGTGTATGTATGTACTGGGCATCCTCTTTAAGGTGTACCTTGTCACAGAATTGAATTCAAAGTGCATACTCGTGACTGCGATGCACCTGCTACTACTCTTTGTCCGTATCTGTCGCCCATGTAGGAGCTGTACACGACATACATTGGGGCACCAACATTCCCAGCCACCCCGATTTCATCCAGCATAACGTTACATGTATCAAATGTCCTCGAATTCCGCACACAGTACATCTAGGCGTGTATCGTTCTTCAAGTCGACATATGACTTTGCCGTAACCACTAGGCAGGTCCACTGGACAGACGGCGGTCGTCCATCACGTCGTCATACTGGCTGGCGTCGCCGTCGCCCCTCAGGAGCTTCTCCACCCGATCCACACCCCTTAACGCTGTCACACAATTCGGATTCAACGCCAGCGCATGGTGGTACTGCGGCAGTGCCAGCCCAAACGACTGGTTCAACGTGTGCACGTCGCCCAATTTCGCAAATACCACGTCTCGGCCCACGTATTGTGTGAGCGACTCGAGTCTACGACCACCGTCACAAGAATATATATATATATCTTATACTATATATATATACCAACCTGGCAATCGCATCGGGGTACTTTGTTTCGGCAATCAAGAGATCCACGAGCCCAAAATGCGCTCGAAGCAACTTGGGCCGCATACTCAACGCTTTCTCAAACGCTTTGCGTGCCTAGTATATATATATATACCCCTCGATCAACGACGGCACAAAAATCTGTGATACCGTTTTGTACCTTATCGCGGCTTTCCGGCCGGAGAGACAGCACCGACCCCAGCAGCAAGTACGCCCGGGGGCTGTGCGGCATATACATGAGCGCGAGCCGCGCGATGTTGATTGCGTCCGCGTACTTGTCGGCGCCCTTGAGGCAGAGGCTACACAGCCCCTCACTCATACCTTCGTACGCGTCCATGGTCTTGGCCAGCTTGGAGGCATGGGAGAACGACTTGACGGCATATTCAGGACGATCTAATGCCAGCAAAAGGTACCCCCGGCATATGTAGCTGCGAGCGTACGATGGGTCCACGGAAATAGCCTACCAAAGCGTATTATTACAGTAGAAGTAGTAGTACTAGTCCAACGAGTTGTTGTAGTAGTACACTAGTACAGTAGTAGTAGTCGTCGTCGTAGCGCTTTCAAGTAGCCATGGTGGTTGTACTACTACTACTACTACTACTACTACTAGTACTACTACTACCAATATAGAAAAGGTAGGTGTAATTCTTACTCGATCGCAGAGCTGAAGGGCGGCAGGCTGGTCACCTTTGAGGTCGCTGTAGCAAGCAGCAGCGAGCCACACTTGTGGGTGGGCTTCGGTGATCGTAAACAAATCCCTGACGAGGCTAATTCCCATTTGAGCGACCGCATTTTCATGGGACAAAAGGGGAAATTTCCCCACCTGACCTGTTGAGCTGCATGGTCAGGCCAGCTTGCTTCAATAAGAACGCAAACACGTCCATGTAGAGCACGTTGTGGGCATCGCAATGTCTCGCCTAAGCCCATGTGAGGTGCATATGACCAGCGGCAGTCGTCTACATGGGCGAGTTACATGCACAAAGGAGGCCATGGCCTGTTCAGGGCACTCCAGCTCCATCAATACACTGGCGCGGTAGAGGTGGCAGTGCAGGCTGTGGGTCGTAGCTACCACTCGCTCCATGTCATCGAGGGACTCGAGGGCGTCTACAAGCACGAAAACAAACACTAAACACATGGATATGGAAGTTGCAGTACGGACACTGGAATTGATGGCTGTGGAGCTGGATGTGGGCATCCACGAGCGACTGGAGCCATGCCGCGTCCGTGGCGTCGATGCCGCCGGTCTCGCCGAGCTCCGTGTACATGTGAACGATGTCGCTGTCGTCCAGCGGGTTGGGCTTGCGCTCTTCGTTCTTGCCTGCGATTTCTGCCAGGGCGAGCGTCGCTTCCACGGCGTATGGGTTTGCTCTATATGGACGATTGAGGCCACTTCATATGAACAACATCCAGGACGTACGTGAGGGCGGCAAGAAACCCAACTTCGGCTTGCCTATATATGGTGAGTGAGTTCAAGCACGAAGATGACTTGCATGGGGTGTACCGAGTCGAGCCTTGCGTCAAGTGGAGGTTCCCACTCAGCATGTTCATGCCGAGCGTTCGACGCGACGGCGGAATGCGGTCCAGCTATTCAAGAAGGGAGTGATGATGAGAGGGAGGAGTCTATAGACGAACCATTCGGATGGCGCTGGGAATGTCGTCCAGATGATGCATGCATTTGGCGATTTGGAACCGAACACGGGCTTCTGAAGACGTCATGTCGGACGATGCAGGGGTAGGAGCTTTCGGGTATTGGAACGCTAAGGACGACGAATAGTACCGCTATTGACATATGTCCCATTTAGTCTCCTCTATGTTTGACCAAGATTGTACCAAAGCGCGCTTGTACTCGCGTTTGTGCACGAGTGCGTCGGCGAAGACGAGGTTGAGGTCGTGAACTGCATGCTCGAGCTGTTTGTCTGGCGACATGGGCGCCGGAGAGCAGAAGATGCTCCCGAGAAGGACTACGGAATCATACTCCTCCTCGTGAAGCAGTTGGCGCATCTGGACCTCAATGCCACGGAGACCTTCAACCGACACCTTGGGATCGTCCTCCATGATGGAGTTGATTGCAAAATGTGATTTGAACGACAATAATCGATTTGATTGGTTAAAAGCATTTTAAACGGACGAATCATCGTGCTTCAATCAATGGCGACAAATTCGAGTTTGGTCAACCGAGGAAGGGCGACGGCGAGCGCCTGCCGCCATTCCTGAGCCTGTGACACGATGCGAGATGACGATGATTCCGACGACGATTCCACACTCATGTGCATCTCTTTCAACGCAGGGGCATGGGCAGTTTGAAGGAGCGCGATGCATTGCTACAACGCATGTAAGTCAAGGAGCATCGCCATCGAACTACCGCAGCAAACGCATCGCGAACGGTCCACTCCAGCACCGCACATTGCTTGATGCCACGATACAGGATACTCTCCCACCCCCACAGCGGCACATGTGATAGTCCGCGAAGATTCAGTCGACGGATGCGTCCATATGTCGCCACTTGGGTCATCAGCTAAGTTTCGAGTGTGTCCGTCCAATGCTTGCTATATACCAGTAGGTTGCATCATACCTCCATCAAGGACGCATCCGCGGGATGTCTCATCGACGGCATCTCCAGCGTTTCCAGGACACATGCAGGATGAGCCACGGCCTTGACCATGGACGCGAGGAACGTCGTGTCGAGTATCAACGTCGAGAAATCCAAATGCAAGTGGCGCACGACGAGCTTATCAAACTCGAGCGCCGTCGATCGGTCGTTCGAGTCTTGTTCGCACACAAAGCGAAGGTTCAACATGTGCAAGTCCAGGCCCTACAGTGATGACAGCCACCCCCGTCGGTGCCATCTTCAATGGACATGGCTTCCTACCGCCATGATCTGCATGAACGCACCAAGAAACCCCCGTGTGAACACATTGTCGGCCACGGACAGGCGCTGGAGCCGCCCCGCCTCGGCACATGCCGTCAGACCTGCCACCACATGCTTCTCAATCGCTCCAAGGTCACTACAGTACGTACACACTCACTCCATGATAGGCTCTGGACACTTGAAAGGTGTTACTTTCTTGTCCACTGTCGATTCGAAAAGGAGTGCTCACAATCGAATCGGCAGACGACAATCGATATACGACCAATCAAAACCCAGATCACGAATGAAGTAGCCAATCAAAATATCCACTTATATTCGACCAATCAAAACCCAGGTCGCGAATCAAGTAGCCAATCAGAGCCCACTCTTCGACCCATTCGAATGAGTGTGTCACTTTTACTGGTAGATATTTGACACATACAAACGTCAGTACAAACAATCGATCAGCTCAAAAGTCAGCCAAATTTGGAAAAAAATCATACCATTGCTCCAAATTGACAGATGTGAGGGACGTGGAGCACTGGGTCAGCAGCGCTTGGACATGACATCCGTGCCGCGCCAACGTGTTGTAGGACAGGTCGACTGCTTGCAACCCCGACAACGATGCAAATGCCGCCTGTCTTCATGTGAGTGCTTCAGCGACGAGCATGGGAATCCTCCATCATCGTACCAACGGCAACGCCCACATAGCTGGGTCCACGTTGACGCTTCGAAGGTGGAGGGTTTGCAGAGAGGATTTGAGGGCGGAAGAGTTTTGGATTGCAGATGCAAACGCAGTGAGCTCCTCGGAACCCACGTCCATATCGTGCATCGTCCAATGGCGGATACTCCAAGCGCTCGTCGCCGCCGCCCTGATAACTTTGTCGATGCGATCTCGTGGATGTACGTCGCCCCAGCCGCCGCGGATGGCGCCGTACTGGACATGACATGAAGACGAGTCTGCATCGTGTTGAATGCTGTCACGGATCGACTGGAGGACTTCAAGGTCTCCATCGTCCACTGGTTCCTTATCAAAGCCCGTTCACGACATGCGACGATTGCTGGGAAGTTGAGACGTGTGTACCAATGCAGATGTCGAAGACAAAGGAGGAGGAGGGAGTGGACTGACTCGAGGTCGTTTGGACGGGGGGAGGCCAGTAGAAGTATGCTGCTGCTCCACTTCGTTCTGGAATGCTTCCAACGACCGCTCGCGTTCGTCCACGTCGACGCCATAGCTTTTTTTCAGGTCGTTCAAGCTCACATTTGAAACTCTACACGCTACGTCAGGTAGATGATCTTGTGGCCAGGAATACACACTTACGTTGGTGGACCGAGGTTCGTGGCAGGATTGGCGGCAGGAGGAGGGGCGGCAGTCACGTTGATGGCAAAGGAGTCCCATGGCGCGGCGTCCATCGGACACGAGCACGTGGCGTACTCGACGCACGATCGCTGCTTTCGCAACAAGATGATCGAGTCGTCGTGGCGAACGATCAGCTCCACGTGTACGTCCCCATGCACAATGAGACTGGCCGACGAGTAGTACGCGCTGTGTAGACCTTCCATTTGCTTCTTGCACTCGGAGAGGCGCTTGTCCAATGGACCGACAGTGTCGCGGTCAAGAATGTCCAGCTGCGACTCCAACGTGTCCAAATGCATGGGCTTGCGCTTCTTTAGGTGGCGGTAGATAGAGTCGAGTTCGATGATCAACGCGTTCCCGTCGTCGATCCCAAGACCTGTACATGGAATGAGGAGAGGGGAGCGCAGAGGGTCTCGACAGTACCTACCGTTGGTCGTGGCCGATGCCCGGCATGTCTTCGTGCGGGACTTGTACTTGAAGGTTCGCTCTGTGCAATGGCGTACCTCTCCACGACGGATTTCGACAGCCAAATCCACCACGCGGACATACTACATTGACGCATATGACGCACAACACCGAGAACAATCACACAGGTCATCAGCTGTACCAAATCGAACCATTGCCCGAGCGCATCCGCCGTCATGTTGTGTTGCAGATGCTTCTGCAGAGTGTCCAGAGCCTTTTCGTACGTGGGTACGTAGGCTTCGACGGTCGCATACACCAGTCTCAGCTGCGCTTCCCTGTCGTTCTTCCTTGCCACCAAGGCTTCCTTTGATGCCATCACGGCGCCAAATCTTGCAATTTGCAAACCCTGTCATATTTAGTATCTATTTGCAAAGGGTATTGCAATTTGAATCAGCCAGTCAAATGCCGAGAAATCAAACGCATTTGATTGGCTATAAATATCATAATGAGTCTGATTGGACAATACGAATTGGCTGGTGGGGACGTCGGGAAACCCCGGCGGCGGAGGACTACTTTACAATTTGCCTGTAATTGAAGATGCCTGCTGTACGTGTCGATGATCCTGAGGCTCTGTGAGACTTGCATGTCTGACAAGCATGTCCGTAGATCCACCATTACCAAGTCGTCGGCCGCAAGGCTCCCACCGAGACCGACCCCAACCCTCCTGCGTTCCGCATGAAGTTGTTCGCCCCTAACGAGGTGTTGGCCAAGTCCCGCTTCTGGTACTTCTTGCACCAAATGAAGAAGATGAAGAAGACGACTGGTGAAATCTTGAGCGTCAACGAGGTACTGCGCTGTGTCCGTGCATGTTGAGTGCTCGCCCAACATGTGTGTCCCATCTACCTTCTCCATTTTGGAGTCGCCCCCTTCGTCTTCGCAAGAAGGGAAGGTCCATGGGGCTAGACGCTTGCTTGCCACGAGACCCCATCCGGGGTCCAGCTTGCAAACCGTTGAATTCTCGCGGTGAGAACCGTTGTTTAGCACATGCCGTGATCATATTTTGATCCGGTTGGTGGTTATCCAATCAATCTCCCCGCGACCTGGTACCCGTCATTCGCAGCTTTGATCGCTGCGACTAGACCTCCGACGCCTGCATGTGTCTGACCCTGTGTGTGTGGTGTACGTAGCTCCGTGAAAAGAACAAGCGCATCGTCAAGAACTACGGTGTGTGGATCCGCTACAACTCCCGTTCCGGCACCCACAACATGTACAAGGAATACCGTGATGTGACGTTGAACTCGGCGATCGAGCAATTGTACGCCGAATTGGCCGGTCGCCATCGCGCCCGCCCGCGTTCGATCCAAATCATGCGCACCGCCATCTTGGCTGCCAAGGACTGCAAGAAGCCCAACACGTTGCAATACCACAACAGCGCGATCAAGTTCCCCTTGTCGCACCGCGTGCCTCGTCCTTCGCTCAAGAAGTTCCGCACCATCTTCAAGGCCAACCGCCCCAGCACTTTCCGCAACTAAGCGGATTCTGGAACCGTTGTTGGACCTCGTTAAGATGTGTCTTAGCAGTGTCTTCGAGATATGAGAATGTAATACCAACCACCTTCTCAGGGCTGTCGATGGTGTTGCATCCATAATGCATGGGATGGATGGATATATAGCTCATACGGCATGGTAGTGTACAGTACTTGTCGTACGCATCATGGAAATGATGATGTCCTGCAGCTTGGTCACCACAGCTTCACTGACATGAAGCCGCTTCACGCGACGACGTGCGCCGCTTCAGCTGAAGGGGATTTGATATTTGCAACCATATTTTGGGAATTTTCTTGTGATGGCAACCCTTTTTTGTCGTAAAGTTGTAAAGGGTACCTGTTTTTGTCGAAAATCACAACCGGTGGATTTGCCCTACGACTTTTGTACTGGTGGATAGACGGAAGATGGCTCCGAAGAAAGGCGCGGCGGCGGCACAGGACACGAACGAGAAGCATAAGCATCCGCTTCAAGCCGTGCTCTTCGCGGACTCATGGACGAACACGTTCCGGCCCATCTCGCTGGAACTTCCCAAGGTCCTCTTCCCCCTAGCGAACGTGCCCATGCTCGAGTACACGCTGGAGTTCCTCGCGTCCAACGGCGTGGAAGAGGTGCTGATCTTCTGCACGGGAAATACGGCTGCGATCGAAGCCTTCTTGAGCACGTCAACGACGGCGCAGACCGTGAAGACGCAGATCGTGATGAGTCCCACGTGCTTGACAGCGGGGGACGCCATCCGTGAGTTGGACCGCATGCAGTTGGTGCGGTCAGACCCGTTCATTTTGATTTCGGGCGATGTCGTGTCCAACATGGACTTGCGCAGTGCCGTGGAAGCGCACGAAGCGCGGAGGAAGAAGGATAGCTCGTCCATCATGACGATGGTGTTCAAGGAAGCGCAGGTCCACCACAACATCCGACCGCTCACCGACGAACTCGTGGTCGCGCTGGACAGTCTTACGCACCAACTCGTGCTGTACGAGACCAAGCACCCGAGCACGGCCATGGCGTTCCTGTCGAACGCGGCGTTCCAGGACCATCAGCAGATCAGTTTCCGCTACGACCTCATGGACGCGCAAGTGTACATTTGCTCGCCCGACGTGTTAGTCCAGTTCAGCGACAACTTTGACTACCAGGACATCCGCACAGACTTTGTGCGCAACGAGGCGCAAAACTACGAAATGGGCAACAAGATCCACGCGCACATCATCTCCAAGGACTTTGCCGCGCGCGTGCATGATCCCCGCACATACAGCGCCATCTCCCATGCGATCCTTCAGCGATGGACGTACCCGCTCGTGCCGGACAACAACCTCCTCGGGTTGCATTCGACGTATAGCCACCAGCGCCATGACATTTACAAGGAAACAAATGTACGCAGCAGCACTTAGAAGTCGCAAACTTTTGGAGATGATTCACAGCCCCATCTTGGGTCGTAGGTGGTGCTGGCGCGGACATGCTCGATTCGCTCGACGAGTATTCTGGGCGAAGGCACGTCCGTGGGCGCCAAGTCGGTCGTGGACAAGAGCGCCATCGGTCGCAACTGCAAACTCGGCGCCAACGTCAAAGTGCTCGGCAGTTTTCTATGGGACGACGTCACGGTTGAAGACAACGTGGTACGTCCGATGGAGATATATTTTGGCCTTTTACCCAAAATGTATGCTATTTTTGCGACTTCGCCAAATCTATCGATCGATTATTCGTTGCATTGACTTTTGTATGTATAACTCGTCTAGTCTCACACTAATTTCAGTCACACACTAATTCAAGGTTGAATTGGTCGAACAGTGGCTTTGATCTAATTTATCTATCGATTATTCGTTGCATTGACTTTTGTATGTATAACTCGTCTAGTCTCACACTAATTTCAGTAACACACTAATTCAAGGTTGAATTGGTCGAACAGTGGCTTTGATTGGTCGCTTGGTTCGTGTTCTGGGTTTTAAATGGTCGATCGATTGTCTCCGGATTTGGTTCTGCTCATTCGAACTCCATTTTCGAATCGACTTGACAATATATATCAGTCTGTGGGGTTCGAACGACCGACGACCAATCACGTATGTGTGGTTTAGACGATCGAAGGGGCGATAGTATGCAGCGGCGCGATCCTTCGCCAAGGCGCGGTCGTCCAGGAAGGATGCTTGATTGCCCACGGTGTGGTGGTGGGGCCCAACTTCGTCGTGCCGTCGCACACCAAGCTAACGACGGTGCGCCGCGTGGCAGTAGACGACGGGTTCTCGGATGACGACGAATATGCCGATGACGCCACCGAAGAAGCGACGGATGAGGCGTGGAACCCCGCGCATGTGGGCGTGGGTGGCGTCGGCCGCGTGTGGACGCTGGAAGACGAAGGCGGCGCGGACTCGGACGTCGATGACGATGACGGAGAAGACGCCGCGACCCGCCTCGAGCAGCTCAAGCTGACGCTGATTGGCGCGCCTGATTTGGTGGCAAAGCAGCGCAACCGCCTCGCGTCGTGGGATGCACTGAGCTCGTCCGACGATGAGGAGGCCGCGGCCCCGTTCGACGACGAGGACCCGCTGGATGGATTCGTACGCGTCGTGATGGACATGGTCGTGTCGGGCGACCACGGCGGCGACGGCGTCGACAACCTCTTTTTGGAGATCAAGAGCTACAAGTTTGCCCAGAACCGGTCGTTTGCCGACTGCTTGGCGGCGATCTTGCCTGGGCTGTGCAACCTCATTCCCCGCGCCAACAAGACGGACATGCAGATCCTGGCGCTGCTCAAACCCAAGCTCGAGAAGTGGAGTAGCGTCGTGCTCAAGTGCGTCATGGGCGACGTCGAGCGCGTGGCGATCGTGGAGATTCTGGCGGCATACTGCTTGGAGCCAGCCAACGCGGCCACGTACTCGGGTCTGTTTCGATTCATCCTCCAGATCGCGTACGACTTGGAGTGGGTCACGGAAGACAACATCTTTGAATGGGAAGACAACCAAGACGCCCCCGGCCACCCGTCGCTGGTTCAAGATGCAGCCGTGCAGGAGTTTTTGGAGTGGCTTCGTGGTGACGATGAAAGTGATGACGAAGATGACGACGAATAGAGTACACTCTCAACGTAAAGGTAGCCTGAGTGCCCATACCCCATCCCCATGCTGTTACACTTTACAGTAATTGTTGATGTGTTTCTTCTAAACTGGACCGACATGGAGAATGATTAAATCGACGACACAACCACATGCACACAAGAATCATCGGCAGAAGAATTGAGCCAATCAGACGTCGAATTAGTGTGAGACTTCAATTAGTATCACACTAATTCGACGTCTCATTGCCTCGTATGCAAACACCTTTTTACAACATACTGTCCTTTTACCCAAAATTTGGCTGACTTTTGTGTGCTGATTCGCCAAATCTATCGATCCATATCGTCCAGCATCACACTAATTTTAGTCATACACCAATTCGGTGTTGAATTGGTCAATAGAGTGAATATTTCATTTTTTTTAGATTAAAAAATAAAAAAAATTGCATTCACAATGGTTAGTAGAAAAAAGAATTATTCAGAAATATTACACTTTGATTTGGAAGTTAGAAAATATATAGAAACTACTTATAAAAATAAAAGGTAAAAAAATATATAACAGTATTACAAGCTTGTAATAATTTTAATATAGAAATACCTAAATTTTGTTTTCAGGATAATTTAAATATCGCAGGAAATTGTAGAATCATTCAAATCATCCCCGTATATTGCCACATACTCCGGAGTACTCCGGAGTACGTGGGTTCGATCCTCCAAATAGTTTTACCTATTCTTCAATCTGTTCATAATTAGATCACTCAGTTTCGGGTCTTATTTTTATAACTTATTATAAGCTTTTTAAAACTTGATTTCTCTACGCCTATTTTTTTTATAAATTAAGCTTGCTAAAAAAATAAACTTGCTGGCCCATTATGCAATTGATTGGCCACTTGAATAGTGTTCTGGGTTTTGATTGGTCGATCGATTGTCTGCCGATACAGTAAAAGGAAGATGAATAGCGTGTTCGGATTGGTGGATGGGTTGGAGCATCTGGAAGGCTTGTGATTGGTGGATTTGTTTTGTTTATTTGGCGGCATATTACGATTTGTCCACGATGGCGATGACGAATGTGGTGTTTGGCGACGACTACGACGAAGACGCGTACAAGCTGATGGAGCTCCCGGCAGAAGTGTGTGACTCATTCACCAGTGGAGACGAAGTGTATATCGTGGGAGACGCCACCCAACGCGCCGTGCTATGTACGCCATCCCAGAGCTTCTACCTCGTCAAGGAAGACCAGTCCAACCTGCGCATGTTGGTGGATTCATGTCAATGGGAACATGCCACGTCCGAAGTCGACATTACGATCCGAGGGTGCTCGATCAACCATTATGAACTCACGGAGAAGCCGTTGAACGTGAGCGAACTCAAGGCGCTGCTCATGGAGGCGCCATGGACCAAGGACTGGTGCGCCAAGTCGGTCTTGTCGTCCCCGGTAAAGAAGAAGCTTCGAGCATCGACTCTGTACACACTGAACGATCTCATGGACAAACTCCAGCACAGCGCGTACGAAGTCAGGCAAATCCTGCGCCAGCTCCGCGCCGTGTGCATCGACGGGTTCTGGCGCCTCGTGGATCCGTCCTACTCCCAGCACGTCATGCACGAGATCTTGGACACGATGATGCAGCAGGACTGGGACCTCTCCACCCCCCTCTCTGTCGACTCGCTCCAAGTCCACCTCGACGCCATCACTCCCGTCATTCTCGCGCACACCCTTGGCGGCTTCAGCCAACCCTCTGCCACCGACGACGCGTTCACACTCAGCCCCACCAAAGTGGCCGCGTTCCAGGCCACCGCCCTCTTCGAAGAGCGCAACGAGTGGCCCGTGGCCGCCTTCATGGAGCAGTGGGGCTTCCGCGTACCCGACGGCGTCCCCATCGACCTGTCTTTGCTGCGTGGCATCGCCATCCTTCGAGGAGATGCAAGTTCCGTCGTGTACTTTCCGCAGTCGCGCCTGTCCATCGACCCCAAGATGCGGTTCCACGAGATGTTTGCGTTCCAGCCCAAGTGGACGCTGGCCCAGCTCGAGCCGTATCTCGAGTACGTCTGCTGTCCATCGTGTGTGTGCGATACAGTTTATCGATCTTTCTTATTAACAAGGTAGATTTGTTTGTAGGCAGCTCGTGACGGGCAAACTGACCCAGGCGTCGCTCCTGCTCAAGTACACGCGGGCGTCGCGGGTACTCCACTCCCCCGACCGACTGTACAGCAAACGATAAGGCAATCTATTGTTATGTGATTGAACTATGCCATATTGTGAATTCGCTATAAATGTCCAAACTTCGCGTGGCTGTTTGTCTAATGAATCACGCTGGCGGCGTTCTGATTGGTTGAATATACTTTGTCTTTTCTGTAAGAGCCAATCAAATCCTTGGATTATTAGCCAATAGCGCCGATTCGTTCGTGATTCGATTCAACATTCAACAGGGTTGGAAAAATTCATACCGAATCCACAATATATATATATAATATATATTCACCCCCTTGCTTGTGTAATCCTTTCCAAACGTACAACCCCATCCACGAATATGGATACTAGACACGGCAAGGTACAGATTGCACATGATATAGATACAATATGGGTGCTTGTTACATGCGCGGGGGCGGGAGGCGCCAGAAGTTCATGTCGTTGAACGCTTCTTCTTGGAACGTGGCGTCATGCTGCTGCTGTTGGACAAAGGGAAACATCATGTCGAACGTGCGCGGGTCCTTGAGGTCGGCGTACGATGTGTCTGTGGCCTTGAGTACCTTTTGGTGCGCGAGGCGGAACCTCCCGCCGTCCATCACGAGCACCTTCCCGGGGTGGAGTCCCGAATGAAGGAATGCATGCGCGTGGTGGGCGTTGGTAAGTCCAGCGTAGAATGGGTTCACGTCGGGGGGGTACAGCGCCTGGAGTTGCTGCAGCATGGCCAGCTTGACGCTTGTTTGGTCTGGGGTGTCCAGGGCCAGCCCAAGGAATGCGCCCAGGAGCGGGGCATGGGGGAGGTCGTCCCGGACAGACCGGCGGCGAGACGAGAGGTAGATGAGCTGGTACCCGTGCCCAAGCACGTGCGTGAAGAAGTCGGCGGCGCTCGACGCCGAACGATCGAACGAGTCCGACCCGACGACCAAGTCAATGTCGGCTACCACAAGCTTGGATGATGCGTGCCACAGAAACAAGGTGGACGTGACGCGCACATCGTCATCGCCACACACAGTCGACTGGACGCGGAACTCGAGTGTGTTGGCGCCATAAGCTAGGTTCATGGCCGTGAGCTGGGCTTCGGACGGATACACACTGCGATGATGGTCAAGAGGTGGAGGGGATGGAGGGGGGGATGACTCGGGAAGGCGGGCATGGTCTGCTGCTACGAAGAGCCACACATGCGAGTTCCATAGGTCCAGTCGATTCGAAATAGAAGGTAGACCCAAAACACCACTCAAGTGGTCAATCAAGTGGTCACTGTTCACCGAATTAGTGTGTGATTGAAATTAGTGTGATACTGGACGATACAAAAGCAATCGATCGATGATAGAGTTGGCGATTTTCAGCACAAAGGTCAGCCAAATATGTTGGGGAAAATGGACAATACCACTTGATCGAAACCAACGCAACCACGTCGACGCCGCGCGTGGTTCCTGTGGGGGTGCCACGTCACGGGTGTCGGACAGATCGAGGCGGGTGGTGGGGGCCGCCAAGTCGAAAATCGTCCCTTCGATCGTGTGTCGGCGCTGCTTGCGAGTCGCGTCTACCGCCGCCGTGTGGGGGAATGATGCTGTATCCCACATCATGGACGAACATGGAAAGCACGCGGCCGACACAACCAGCGCCTGCGCAAACAGGTCGTACCGACGATACTCGCCGCGGACCATCACCATGAGCGACGGATCTTGGAGGATGGCGGCGGCATGGCGGCGAAACGATTCGGCCGACACTTGATGCTTGCGAAAGATGGCCGCGGCTTCGTCAGCGGACGATGCTGTGGACATGAGATCCCCGCAGAGAGACAGCGCGGGCGGCAATGCATCTACGTACTCATGCCATGTGACGACGTGCAGACGCGATAGAAGGACCTGGCGAACGCTCCAAGCCGTGTACGGTGTCGCAGTCGGCGGAACACGGGATGGGGCCGCTCTCGGTCTGCGCGTCGAAGTAATCGCTAGTGGACTTTTGCAGCATGGCCTTGTCAAGTGACGGAGGGACGCTGTGCATGGCGTCGAAGTAGATGCTGGGAGCGCGCATGTCTGCTGTAAACGGCATGCTGGCCTACGAAGAGGATCGTGTTCATGGTGGGGGGGCATGCATGGCCATACCCTCGGAGCCGTCAGATCGTTTGTCGGAGATGGAGCGTTGAAGTGAGGGGAGCTGCGATACAGTTGCAATGGCGTCAACTACGTCAACGCATTAGGAAAAACGTACGCTTGTGACGACGGAACAGGAGCATCGTCGAAGTCGGTGAAGAACAAGGGCTCGATGGACTCCGAGACGTCCGTGTCGACGGTCGCGGCGTGCACGAAGAAGGCTTCTCCGTTCGAGTCGAGCTGCGTCAAGAGTTAAAGATCCCGACGATAGCATGGATGGCAAGATGAGGCGGCACGCACCTCCATGTACACGCCTGGAGCCTGCTCGCCATTGACGTAGACTTCCACGCGTCGTTCCAGGTACTTTGTCATCTGGGAAATCGTCCATGGTAAGGTCAGATAGTCGACGTGGGTTGGAACCTCGAACGACGTACCTCAAAGCGCACGTAGAAAGGAGTGCATCGGACCTGACGGTCGGGTGCGCCATGCTGAATCGCGACCACATCGATCGCTTCGGTGTGGTTGCTCCCGAGGTCGAACACGGTTGTGACGTACTCCTTCACCGAGTTGATGACGTTCATCTTCCCAGCCAAGCCAAGATCAACCGCAGCCTGGTAGCTACTGGATGAGACAAGGAGGATGCACGAAGGTTATGCTGAGGTCCGAGTCCAGCACCTCGGTCGGTGATAAAGTCGCCGAAATGGACTTCAACCACGACGACATTACATTTATCTCATGATTACGGCATACAAAACCGAGGTCAAATCTCGTCGTATACATTTTTCCGGATACGAACCGGTTGCTCACAAGCCAAAATGCTTGCCTCCGAAATGTTACAGAGCATCCATCTAACACTGCATGTCACGTTGGTTGATGCGCAATGCAGACCAAGTAAATACTTGATGGAGAAGCAGCTCGACGGCAGCGATTGCGACTCGCTCCATTGTCCCTGTACCGCTATGCCATAGCTGTGGTGGGGACTTGCTGAGTAGACAGGATTGTTTTCATGGGATTTACTTCAAAGTGGGACATAGCTGGGTTAGCGTTTCTTACGAACAGACGACAACAGGACAAGCAATTGGCTTCCTCACAACTGTCAAGCCTTGACTGTTTGGCACTGCTTCATCCACCCAGGTCCGTTTTCAATTGGCATGACCATACGTGGTCAATCCATACAGGCTGGTGAGATTGCGCAACGAATGAACATCCATCGCTGAGAACTTTTCTTATACGGGAACAAGATAATTCGCATCTGGGACAAACCTCCGTGAATGGCCAATCAAATGCATTGGGCTGTAGAATCCAGCCAATGGCATCGATGGAAGCAATCGAATAGATTCGGACGATTTTCGACGACGACACTCTAGCACTTCAATAATTCTCCATTTTGTTTCATCATCAGCATCGCATGACCATGTCGTGCCGTGAAGTATCGCGAGATTCCACGGAGGACGACAGCATCCACACGGACTTCACGAGCCACGGCCACCATATGGAGATGTGGAGGCAATCGCTGGACATTCGACAGTCGTTAGGCCAATTGTCCGCAGATCGCAGGTCATCGTCGTCCATGATTCAATCTCGTCGTGAGCCGCGGGACTTGATGCTTTTCGTTGGCAAACCTGCCGAAAACGAACGCCAGACCCACTACAAGGGGCGCCTTCGCGTACGTCCGTCCGTCCATCAACCTGTTTGACTTTTGCCCATACTATTGGTCGTTCAGATGTGGCCAGGACTCCTTCTTCTGGTGCTAGTGGTCGGCGGTGCGATCGCAGGAATCACCCTCGGCGTCAAATCTTCGCATGAAGCATCCCGAAAGCGCGCCATAGACGTCCTCTCGGCCGAACGCGCGCGGCGCGCCATCGACAGTGGCGTCAAGGACTCGTCCTCCAGCTTACCCATCGACCGCGACCCCGACGACAACCAAGTGGGCAACCCCAAAACCTACGTCAACCAACGTACGCTTGTCTGTCTCGTCCTCTTCTCCGACACCCATGTCGTTGTAGGATGCTCCATGCTAAACTACGTGAGCAAAACAGGGCGCGTCTTTGCCGTGCTGCCCAACAACACGGAAACCCAAATCGACATGAAGGGCATCAATTGGTAAGGGTTCGTCTGGTAACCAGAAATATTGCAATATTCAGGCCCAAAGCGCCATTTTAGGGCCGAATTCAACAAATCTGATCAAAACATGTCTTGCTGACAGAGGTTTAACCCAAATCCAATAATTCCACGTGGGATTTACTCGTTGAAGAGGTCCAAAACGCCATATTACAAAATATTGGACCTTTTACCTCCATTTTGGTGAATCCCATTTTGCGAGAAAATCGGAATATTATTTTTGAAATGTACCATTTTGCGAGAAAATCGGAATATTATTTTTGAAATGTACCCTAATACTACTTCACCAATCTCGTAGATTAACACTATTACGCCTTGAAAACCATGTAGGTTTGGCATGGAAACAGGCAACGCCATCCCGTTAGGGCTGTGGACCAACGAAAACAACGGCACGACCGCGTACGAGATCGCCACGTATCTCGCGGCCAACAAGTTCAACGTCGTGCGCCTACCAGTATGCATCGCGCACATCCTAGCCGACACGGCGCCGCGGAAGGGGCTGGTGAACCTCAAGGAGAACCGCGCCGTGGACATCTCGTCGTACATGGCGGCGTTGGAATCGATCATCAAGGCGCTGGCGTACCGCAACATTGGGGTCCTCATCAGCTTGCACACGTTGACGCCGCAAGTGTCGGGCGGCACGTGGTTCGATGACTCGGTGGGCATCACAAAGGACAAGTTCCTGCTCTCCGTTGACATTTTAACCAAAGCGCTGTGCAAATCCGACTATTGGAACGTTGTGGGCTTGGATCTCAAGAACGAACCACATACTGCCACGTGGGCAGATTTTTCCGACGGCGCCGAGACGATTGGCAATAGGATGCACGCTGGTTGTACGAACTGGCTGGCGTTCGTTGAAGGTACCAACATCGAGAAGCACTCGACCGTGATCGGCGGGGTCGTGACGGAGTATAGCAACTGGTGGGGCGGCGGGCTTCAAGGCGTCAAGACTAAGCGAGTCATGCTTGACCTGCCTAACAAGGTCGTGTACGCGCCGCACTACTACAACAGCGGCGTGTACCCGCAGACGTACCTCTACGCCCCGGGGGGAGATGAGCTGTCGGATGCTGACCTGCGTCAGCGAATCTCCGAGACCGCCACCGACATGTTTGGGTTCATTGCTGCCGACAAGAAGGAAGCGCTCGTGCTGGGCGAGTTCGCCGGACTGTACGCGACGGACGCGCATCGTTTCAAGACGACGAAACGCACGACGGACTTCTTGATTGAAGTCATGCTGCGAGATGGGTACGCCGGCGGCTTCGTGTGGTCCCTCAACCCTGAAAGCGCGTACCAGTACAACCCGAATGGACCTGGCACGTGGACGGAAGGGTTGCTCAAAGACGACTGGAGGAGCTCCAACACGGAGTTCGTCCAAGGGATGGCGGCGTTGGACAAGCTGCCGAGCCTAAAAGCACTCCCATGTGTCCACACCACGCCGTCGGCGCCGTAGTCGGTCGGCACGTTGTAGCTACCGATATCATTATTGTCGAAATACTCGGGTATTAAATGCTAAGGGACGTTTCTGTAAATATCCGATTTGAAAGGCTCATCCATTTTCTGCAATCCGTAACTATCGGTTTAGAGACTATAGTTATGCTAATTACTACGTAGTAATCAATACCTCAAAGAACAATCGATTTAGTGCCTTTTAATCAATACCTCCAACAACAATCGATTTAGTGCCTTTTGCAGGATTGGATGCCGCGAAAATACAAATTTCGACATGGCAGCATTGCCTAACGGTAGCAGTCGACGGCCATGGACTCCGCCCGACCATTGGGATGATGTGGCCAAGATGGGAGACTTGATCCCCATGGGTTTCCAGCCCGACACTCGTGCGAAGCTCGTTGCAGCTCGGGTTCCTCTTGACCCCAAGTATACGATGTCCGACGTCGAGCAATGGACGCCGTTGCACCTTCTGGAGGCATGCCAAGCACGCAATTTGACCGTGCATATGGTGATTGATTTGACGAACACGTTCAAGTACTACGACGGCGTAGCGGAGTTCACATCCAGGGGCGTCGAGTACGTGAAGCTCAAGGTCGAAGGGTTTGCAGACGTCCCAACCGAAGACATTGTCCAACGCTTCATCCACGTGTTGTCGACATGGGAAGATACCTTCCGCCAACAACCTCCGAGCCAGGGGGACTTGACTCCCGTGGTGGTAGTCCACTGCACCCACGGCCTCAATCGGACAGGGTATCTCATTGCGCGATACCTCATTGCGACGAAAGGCGTGACCGTGAAGGAAGCGCTCGCCACGTTCACGGCGGCTCGTCCCCCTGGGTTGATCAAACACATGTACGTGCAGACGTTGTACGACATGTTCGACCAGAGCGACGACGCCGTCCTGCCGGAACTCCCGCTGTGGGCGAAGAACAAGTACGACCGCACCAAGCTCGCGCTCCAAGCCGTCAACAACATGCCCCCCCGTCTGCTTCCTCCGTCCACTCCAGCTGCAAAACCCAAGTGGCGTCGCTCTGACCAGTCCCACTTGCGCCGTCCACCCGAGAACTGGACGGACCCCCCGCGCTTCGGTGCCGTCGTGGCCGACTCTCCCTTCCTCCCCATGCGCACCCTATTGGACGACACATACCACCACGGCGCGGAACGTTGGACGCCCGCCACATTTGTGGCCGAACTAGGGCACGACGTGCGACTTGTCGTGGACCTGACCAACACCACCAAGTACTACGACGGCCCGTCTGCGTTTCCATCCACCATTTCGTACCGGAAGTTTGCGCTGGAAGGCTTTAGCGCCGCGCCGTCGCCGACGTCCGTGGCGGCATTCCTCGACCTCGTGGACGCGTTCGAACGGGACCACCCCGGCAAACACCTGGCGTTGCATTGCACCCACGGACTCAACCGCACCGGGTACCTCGTCGCGAGCTACCTCATCCGTCGCAAGCAGTACTCGGTCCAAGCGGCGCTCGACGCGTTCGCAGCCGCCCGGCCCCCCGGCCTGATCAAGTTTCTGTACATCGATGCCCTGCACGACCTCCACGGGTGCTCAGCTGACGTCGTCACATACCCGACGCTGCCGCCGTGGGCCAGTAAAAAGTACGCCAAACAAACCAATCGACGCGTGCCTCGGCTATGGCCCCCGCCCTCGTTTTGGACGTCCATGTCCCCCCACGGCGCGTGGATCCCTCTCCAGGACAGTACGGACTCTGTTGAGAATGCCGACGAGGCCGACAAGGGCAGCCGCCGCGACGCAGCAGACGCTCCACCTGATACTGCTGCTGTTTCTGTTATTTCGTCGCGTGTAAAAGTTGACGTAGCCACCTCGTCTTCTTCCCTCCCCCCACGTCGTCGTCGTCGCAGGATGATGCACTTGCTGCCCATGAAAGCCATGCTGGACGAGCGGTACGAGTCGGATGGATCGTGGACGACGGCGTCGTTTGCGTCGGTGGTTGCCGACTCGTTCGTGCACGGCATCGTGAGTTTGGACGAACGAGATGCGTACTATCCGGACGCGGAGCTGCCGCCGACGCTCCGCCGCGCGTACGTGCCGGTTCGGTCTAGCCAGGTGCCGCCGCAGTCGGACGTGGATGCGTTCGACCGGACACTGCGGACGTGGCAAGCCGAGGTGGGGGATGACACGGAGCTGCGCGTGGCCATCCACTGCTCGGCGGGCGGACGGACCGGCTTCTTCGTCATCCACGCCCTTGTGCACTTTGCCAAAAAGTCGGTCGATGAGGCCAAGGCCATATACGAGACCGCGTGGCCCCCTGGGGTCGTGCCCAAGAACTTGCTCAAGAACTTGTACCATCTCGAACGCCAAAGCAACCGGGCGTTGCCGCCACCAAGCGCAGAACGCCGCCGATGTCGCAGCCGGAGCCGGGACGACTCGGAACGACGCGCCTACAGCAGCCGACGCAGCCACGAGCGGAACCAAACGGTGTCGCAGAATCGTTTCGAAGGACAGTACAATCCACAGTGGCGGCCGCCGTCTACGTATGGGAACCGGTGGGGCGACGGACGAGCAGACCAGTGGAGCCAACAACCCCAATATCCCCACCATCCCCACTATGAACCCCACCATCCCTACTCTCAACCCCAATATCCCCACCATCCCCACCACCACCACCAATCGCCCGAGTATCAACCAGAGTACTACGCGTATAACCAGTCGACGGGGTCGACTGATTCGTACGGAAGGGCCGAGCGCGGCTCCACACCTCGTCGCAATGGATCCCGGTCGCCAGTGTAATATTCATGAATCATGACGTTATATTGTTTGTTTGGGGGGGTCGAGAATGGTCAATACCCGCGTGAGGTGGGCTTGGATGTACGCTCGCAGCTCCATCAACAACTGCTGCCGCCGCTTCGTGGCTTTGGCAATCTCCCGCGTCAGCACCAACGTCTACCAACAACAGAAGTATTTAGCCAATCAGATTGCAGGAAACCATCATCAACGTCGAATTAGTGTGTGATTTCAATTAGTGTGGTACCCATCACCACAGGACACCTTTTACATAGTACAAGATTCGATCGATAGATTTGGCGAATCCGCACAAAAGCCAGCCAAATTTTGAGTAAAAGGACAATATTTACTTTATACCTTGGCGTGGGTAAAGCGAACGACCAGGTGCAATGTGGCCGGCACCGCGCGGACACTCGAGCCCTCCACGAGGGTCTGCTTGAGCGTGGGCGGCAGCACATGCCACTCGTCGTGGTCGTTTTGGTCGACATACTGGCGCAGCGGCAGCCGAATTTCCCCCGCCACTTGAGCCCCCCCTGCTGTGTTGTCGACGACTTGAACATGCAGCTCGCATCGGATGGATGGAATATGGTCAAACGTCATGGCGTGGTCCCAAGCAGGGCTGTCTTCGCCCGCACGGGGCTCCGTACCCTGCTGTCCCCCCACAACCCGCCCGTCCTCCCCGTGTACCCGCACTCGCACCATCGGATCAATCTGCCATCGCATTACAAGCAGCTCGGTTTTACCATGGAAACTGGACTGTATGTACCAGCGACCGATTCGACCGTCTTGGCAAGTGTCGGGCCTCTATGACGGTCACGTGCACCGTCGCCTGGCTCTGCTTGGTGGTGGCCAGCACCAGCACCCCCGCGTCGACGTCTGTCGTGTGCGTCGCGTCAATGTGCGCGTACTCCAAGCACATGTCCTATAAAATCGATACCCATAGAATTCCAAACGCATTCATCCACAAACAAACTAGTACTGCAAAACGTACTTGAATGTCGGCGGAAGTGTGCGCCAATGCCGTGCGCAATGGTAGTGGCATCAACTCGGAGGCCGACGTCCACTTTCGTGTGGGTTGAATGTGTTCCGCTGTCAATCTCTTGCCATTTGGTTGTTGTGGATATAGAGTTTGTGCATCATGGTCGAACCAGTGGCGTGGACAATACGCCAAGATCGTCATCACATTCGCTTCTTCGAGCCAGCGCGCTTGGCTGCCTCGACGCAGTGCCACGGAGGCTGTTTCCGAGGCTTGCAATATCGCCGAGCGGGTGTTGTCGTACCTAATCATTTCAGAGTCCGTTCGTTCCATTCTGTCTGTCTACATGACATTTCGACGGTACCTTTGATCGGCGGCCGTGGCCATGTCCCGGCGCTTGGTAGCGCTGGCTTGCATTTGACTGACTTTGACATCGTGGTCGAATCTAAAACTCCAACATGTGAATGAACATTATTATTGCACTTGGACGAGAGAGTGAATGTGTCGTACTGGACTTTGGCTTGGATGAGTTTCTTGTGCAAGTCCACGCGACAGGCGGCGGCCGCTTTCACCGCGCAGACCTTGGCATCGACACTTGCTCGGCGCTGACACTTGGCCACGAACGCCAGTGCCATCGACGCGGCGCGAAACCCGGCGGGAAACACGCTCGCTGCCGCGGGGCTCCACACTCCACTCGCCAACTCATGCAACGCCAGCACCTTTTTGTGCGTGATGCCATCGCTAGCCACTCGACCTTGCTTGTCATTCCAATGGATTCGAGCTCCTAGGATATGCAGTGCATCCAGGTAGGTAGACATCTCTTGACTGGCTGATGGTATTAGTTACCATGTCGTAGCAGCTCCCGCACCACGGCAGTATTTGAGCGCTGGCACGCTTCCATGTAAGCTGTGCGCTGGGTGACCTGTAGAAATGTTGCGAATCGCATTAGAGGATGCTTGATTGTGGCGAAATGTCCATTCATTATGGTGGAGGTGCGATCTTGGCCGTACAATGTGTCGGTGGTTGACATCTGCTTGTCGTTGCAACAGCAATTGCACCACTTGGATGTGTCCGCCCAAGCATGCCGCGAGCAGCGGCGTCAGCCCCATAGCCTACACAGAACCGTTGATGTACATGAAGTGCATGATGGACATGATGGACAAAGTTGGAATCTATGGTGAACATGACGCACGCTTTCTGCATTGGGGCTCCAGCCTTCGTTGAGCAAAGCCATCACTCGATCAACGTGTCCTCGCATGCATGCTTCCCGAATCGATTCGAGTTGTGGTTTCTACAGCCACACCCAAAGGTTGTCAATTGTGCCCCATTCACATCCGAGGGTAGTTACCACGGACGTTGTTCGTACCGATTTTCCGTCCAAAAGATCCTGAATCGCTTGCTTGTTATCTCGAGCGATGCCCTGCAAACGAGCGGCGCGGTTGGCTTCGTGCTCCAGACGAACCTTTTTGTCCCATTGTTTCCGTCCCCAGTGGACTTGCTTGCGGTTCTGGCGCTCCAAGTCCGCCTTGGCTTGGGCTTGTCGCTGAATCAGCACGAGACCTTCGAGTTTGGTCAGCTCGATCTTGGTTTGGGCGTCCTTGTCTAGCTGAAACTTGCTCACTGCGATAGGAATCGCCTCTGTCGAGTTGGCTACAGGAGCAGTCTCGTTGCCCTCGTCGTCGACCTTGTTGTCCGCCGTCATGGATTCCGCGGCAGTCACAGGCTGATTGTCCTCGTACGTTGGGGCATCCCCACTGCCGAAAATTTTAGGTCGATCCCATGCAGTTTCGCCGGTTCGGAGGTTGCAGTAGTAGGAGTGCCCAGTGTTGGCGTCGTAGCATCTTCGATACACTGAACTTGCCAGCTGTACCATGAGCTTCCGGGCGGCGCGGCTGCGATATAGCTTTTGAATGCACGTGGCAGCTGCACATGCTTCGTCCGACTGTTGTGCACCGCCACCCCTTTCGGTCATGGTGGGCACTGCAAAACCGACAGGACTCATACGACGGTTACATACTCTTTTAAGTTCGGGTGTTTTCCGGTATATTTCACCCCATATCCGGTAAATCTGGTGTCTAAAGTGCGATATATTTCGTCCAGATATATACTTCATTCCGGTATGTTCGTATATATCGAAGATATGGCGTTGGACGAAATATACCAGAAAAAACTCGAACTTCAAGGAAAAAATATGGTAGATATGGCTCTTGTCATTTTGTATTAATGCAGCAACAGGCACACCGACGTACGACAAGAACCACGACTCGGAAAAGCACCGGTGGCGGCTTCCTCTTCGGCTTCGTCTTCCTTGCCGTGTCCATCGGTTTGCTCTTCTGGAATGAAGGCAATGTTGTGCGCCAATACACGAGTTTGCAAGAAGGGTTGGCAAGCGTCGTCGAACTCGACGACACGGCCAACGTCGAGTCCAAACTGGTGCACATGACGGGTCGACTGACGACCCAGAACGCCCAAGAGCGCCCCATAGTCATGGACGCGGAGTTTGGTGTGGCAGCCACGGGCGTCTATCTCCATCGCATTGTCGAGATGCTGCAATGGAAAGGTTCGACGAATATGATGTGACAAACACGTCAACGCTTCCATTTACTAGAGAAGCGCCATGACCACACGTACACCGAGGACGGCCAGGAAAAGACGGACGTCTCGTACACGTACAAGAAGTCTTGGAGTGCCCAGTCCATCGACAGCGACGCATTCCATGACGCGAGCTACGTGAACCCATCATACTGGGAGTACAAATCCAAAAAGGTCTCATTCTACGTTTCCCATCGGGACATGCTCATATTCCTTGGCAGATCTCAGCGCCGTCCGTGTTCCTTCGCGGGTATCGAGTCCCCGACGTCCTCCTCGGCCAAATCAGCACGCGCGACCATATTTCACTGGACGACGCCAGTCGACTTCAAATGGCGTCCATATTAGAGCTATCCCTTCATGCGCCGCTAAAGGGCGGCATTCCAGCGCTGAAAACCATGGACATTCTTCACAACGAGTTCATGTCGAAGGAGATACCATCCAACGGTAAATCAAACAACCAGCAGCACCGAGACCGCGCCAACATTGGCGACTTGCGCGTCCGATTCCAAGTGACTCCCGCCAGCGCGGTACTACGAGCCGATCTTCCCCTCTTCCGAACATGATGATTGCATGCAAAGTTGTCTCGTAGGTGAGCGTGCTGGCGATGGCCCACGGCGGCGCCTTGCATCCCTACACGACCAAGTCGGGCGATCCGATAGTGCTGTTGGAGGAAGGCGTGATGGACGCCGCGGCTATGATCGACCGCGCCCAAGCGTTGGTGGTGAGTTATTCTTGTCCAACAATATGGTGAGATGTATGTATATATATGTGACACGGGGGCGGCAGACCATGTGGGCGTGGGGGCTTCGCGTTGTGGGGCTCGTGCTGGCGGTGGTGGGGTTCAACGTGCTGCTGCAGCCCGTGGTGGACTTGGCGCACTTGTTCATCAACGTACCGCTTCTCGGGACGTTCGTCGCTGCCGCTGCGTCATGGAGCGTCAGTGTCATGAGTGGGCTTTTGGGGTATGTACGGTCTCAACCCTAGTCTCGCTGGAAATATGTGATGGTGTTTTACCGTAGGGTGAGCACGGCCCTCGTGGTGATTGCGATCGCGTGGGTGTGGTATCGGTGAGTCTACCGGTGTCGCAGATTCAGTTGATGAATGAATGGTGGTGGTGGAGTAGGCCGTTGGTGGCGCTCGGGCTGGTACTGGTGGCCATCACGCCCTACATTGGCATGCTGAAACCCAGCAAAGCCCACGTCAAACTGGCCGTGTCCTAGCGCGTAAACGCACCTCGGAACACTTGCATTCGAGAGTTCATGCCATCATATTGATACTAAACGTAGTAGGCAGACGATGCGAGTTAAGTTTTTAATGAACTATAATAGCAAACTGAAAATTAGCTTACCAGTATGATGAAAAGTCGCGATCTTTGGCTGCGCTGTGATTGGTCCATATGGGTGAGGTGGTAAATAGACGCTTTTGATTGGCTATAATCAACATTTGATGCCAATCAAACGTGGGTTGTTAGCGGGAGGCGTGGACACGGGGTTATGGAAGGGGCTGCCGCGCACTCTCGGCCTAGAGCCCCATAACGTACCGCGAGTATGTGGCCAAGTCAGAGACGGACCTGTTAGTCTGCGTTGTCGACGGCATTCGAAAGGACATTCCTCGGGAGCTACGTATGTACTGTAGTTCTGTCCACCAGTGTCAACACAAAAGTGTTCGCTGACTTGCGTGATAGAACGCGTGTGCTGATCTCAGCAGACCAAGAGGCCACTTTAAACCAAGCCCTCAAAGTGTATGCATAAGCGCATTTGGAACGAATTTGCAGCGGCCGTGTACTCTAACTTGAAAGCCAGCTGTGGGCTCCGTCATGCCCACAGCTGGTGTTCGAGTTAGAGATGGCGGCTGCGCTGGAACACAGTGAGCAACTTATACAACAACCGGACCTGCCGTCAATCCTGTCGAGCCGACTGTAGAGGCGTTCGATCAATCGTTCGCGGAGTTCGAAAGTGTCCTGAGCCCATCTCATATTCCCAGGAATTCCGCTACGATTACCTCATGGGCCCGGAACCCATGAAACTGTTGCGGGGACAAGAGTCCATGGGTTCGGCAATTTTCCTTCCCGCACAAGCACATGCAAGGCAAATGCCTGTCGCTCCACCCTGGTTTCGAGACAAGGAATGGGAGATTTCCTTTGCACCAGGTTTTGGAAAAGGCAGAATTCCACATATTGCGAAAGTATTTATTCGTGATGCCCAAGAGCAACGTTCCACCACGACCTGATGATCCATCGTACAACCATCAATTCGCCACCGTGAATGGCATCCGCATGCACTACGTCGATGTCGGTCCTCGAGGTATGTCACCTCCGTCTCCCATAGCTCACCGACCCGTAGATGGATTGATTTTGGTCTTGGTTCACGGTGGCCCGACCTGTGGTATGGACGGCGGGTACGAACGCCGTGTATAGTAGTTCAACTGACTGATGTCACTTGTAATACCAGATCCAAGCGCTGCGCAAGTCTTTTCGTGTGATTGCTGCAGATGCCCCCCCCTTCGTAGCCACTCTACAACCCAGACAACTGTGGCTTTGGGGACACGGAATCCCCGCTTTCACCCGCGTCGTACAGCCGCAAGAACATCGCCACCGACTACGCTTGTTTCCTCGGTAAGATCATCCACACATTGGCAACGCATTGACACACACTCGAATAGACCACTTAGCGATCGACCGAGTCGTGTTCATCGGCCGGCCACGACTGGGGCGGCGTCGTGGTGTGGCGCATGTGTCAGTTCTTCCCCCACCGCGTGCTGGACACGGAGTCGCTCTGCACGCCATTTAGTGCCAGGTTCAAAGTGCAGCTCCCTTGGGAAATGTACTTGCAGCTCCTGCCGTCACTAAAGTACCAGCATCTGTCCTTGATGAGGACGTGGCCGACATGCTCCGCGTCCACATCCTCCCATTTTTTCGCTTAATGTTTGGCACCCCCATCGTACGAGACTACGGGTCGTTGTACGACAACATGAAGCACCTGCCGACGCTCGAGTTTACGGCGGCATCATCATCATCATACCCATAGATGGACTGGGTGACCGTGGAAGCCCACGACGAAGTGAACCAATTGATCTTGGCCTGGCTCGCCAACGTTGTCCTACCTCGATCATCTGCCCAATTGTAGTTTAGGTTTTAATCGTAAGTACAACTAGAGTCTGTAGTCAATGGTACCAACCCATCTAGTCAACGAGGATTCCATCATGGTCTCGTGCCATCTCGTTGCGTTCTGTCGTGTTGACGGGGTCGACTTGTAAATCAAACAGTGCGTCTGTCCATGAATGACCCACTTGTCAAGTTGCTGCTTGCTGTCATGATGAATAACTCCCCCTGTCTTGTGGTGCTGACCCAACCGGCGTCGGAGTTCTTCAAAGACGAAGGCACGTCCGTAGCCTAGTGCTAGTCGTCACTTCTTCCGCAATCATCGTATATGATAGGAGGGCGGGCCAACTACTTGACGGTGCAAGTGGCATTGAGGGCTTGCGAAGGGATTGGGTCTGTTTCCGTGCCCCTCCGCATGACATTGCTGTTTGAATCGGGTACGAGTTGGTTGTGTTTACGTTGTCTAACGTTGGTATATTTCGTTTCCTAAGGGCAAGTCGTGGATGACCAAGACATATTTCGCATCATGGGGTCCAACACGTTGGTATTGAATGGAGATGACTCGGTGGCGACCATTCATTTCCGCCTCGACAAGGTACAAACTGCATTTTACCCGGGGGGGGGGTAAGCTAAGTTGTGGGCGGCCCTATCGCAGGTGAGTCGCCGCAAAGATGGCCAGCGCTTCAAGCTTAAAATCGACGTGGACCCCACTCGCAGCGTGCTCTCGGGGGTAACCCCCGTTGTGACGACACCCATTTGTGTCTTGTCCAAGCGCAAGTCGGTGGACGTTCCAACCACTGCCCCCGCTGCCAACGTGGACAGTAACTCCCCCCGAAAGCAACTAAAACATGGTGAAGTCGTACTTGCAAAGCAAATAGCGGCCATGCAAGCTCAATTGTCTCGCCTCATGGGGCTCGTGGAAGCGCAAGTGCGTATACCAAACCCATCGGTTCATCGTGACGTGATTTTTGGTCGATTGTAGCATCGCCTCCTGGTTCGCCTGAGTTTATCGCCCGCCCCCAAAGACATTGACACGCTTCTGAAAGAAGGTAAACGGCCGTCTTGATGATCTATCTGTTGGAGCCAAAGGTTGGTCAACTAACTATTTATTGCAACTACAGAAGACACGTCCTTTCACGCAGCCATGCTCGACACGTCCGACCCAGTCCACTCGTTCCTAAACCAGGCGACGATGCCGCTGCCCCTTGGAACATTTTGCTTCGACCGTTAAGACCGTTAACACTGGACTTCGGTTGATGCGGAACATGTGCGATGTGCGAGATCCTAATAGGGGAGGGGGCAGCAGCAACGGTCGCTAGGCATCGGTGCAATTTGAAGCTCATCGTTGCTATGTGACCGTAATGCTCATTGGAAACTGCTATTACAACCATTGCTGTAAGGTTGCCCGTTGGCATCGTTACATACTCGAACCAATTAACGAGACAGGGCTAGCGTTACGAAATACTCGGCGTTACGAAATACTCGGCGTAGTATAAAAGCAACGATGGTGCCTTTGCGCTAATCACGAGTGATTTGACTTCTCGGATTGATAGTGAACAAATAGATGTAACATCAACTCGCCAAGCCGATTCCACCACACCCAACAAAGGTGTCAACTTTGTGCCGATTTGTAAGCAACTCCTCCCCCCGAATCCCCTTGCTCAAACTTTGTGGTTTTCTTTATGGGGGCTCAGGGGCGACAGGGGGGGCTGGTATGTTAATCCATGGCGGTAATAAACTCACATAACAAGCCACTGTAAGTTATGCTCAATATTGCATGCAAACGATGATTGATGTTACAAGCGTCACTATCCTGCAACTCTATCTACCGTATAACGTTATGACATGGGTTTGAATTGGCTTTACAGTTAGAAATCGACGTCACGATGTGGAAGTGTGTGCCTCTTGACGTGGCAGTGCACACTACCACCTCGTAGAACTCGCACCACGTCACCACGCGGCGTAACAGGCAGGTGTGCCGTACATTTGTACTGTAGCCACCACGGGAAGTCATTACAGTAGCAGTACGTACAGTACAGTATAGGTAAGACTCGAACAAACAACTCCTTGTTGCTTTTCTGTGTGTGCAATTTCGTCTCGTACAGTACTACTACTACTTTCGTAACGTACAGTACTACAGTACACTTCACATGTTATTAGTGTGGTGAGTTTATGGTATGGATACATTCATGTACAGTCTGTGCATTGCCATGTGGCCAGTTCGTGTCAAGTCAACCCTTGGTTACACCGTTACTTGGGCGGTGGTAATTCACTAACGCTAGAAGGATGTACTCTCGTTAACACTAAAAGTATGTAGCAGCAGCCTCAACCAAATACAAGGCGAAGTGTACTCAACGTTAGCCTCATGTACTTGAAATAAATCAAATTGCCTTTTGAAACAAAAGATATTCTTTTTCGACATATTTTGTTTTTGCATTCGATTGAAGTTGCAGTGTGCCGTGGATACTTTTCGTGAAAATACGTTTTAGGTTTAAACCAACCTATAACGCGATGTCGTCACCCGAAGAACGGCTGGTAATATTGTTTAACTGTTTGTAAAACGCAACGATGTCGTCTGCGTGAAAACCCATCTGCGAATGTTGTTCAAGATATATCCACCGACAATCAAGACCTTCCGCAGCGATTCTACGTCGGTGCAACCCCAAAATGGCATGTTGCTTTGGACATGATGAAAGGCCTAGATGAGTGCATTATAAGGATATATTTACTTTAGATAGGGCAGTATATAGGTGGCAGGAACTCGGGATGACTATAGCGTCATGTCAAAGTCGAAGATGTTCTTGAGGATCTCAACTTCGTCTTCTGACCAGCAACTGCTTGTTTCGGACATGTCGATCTCTTCAATGTCTAGCGGGTCGCTGTCTCGGGTTTGCAACGTCCACATGCTCGTCGTGTCCTGTGAAGGTTCGGTTTTGATCGTAGGTTCGGGCTTGACTACGACTGTCGTCCTCTCAAGCGATGGCTGTTCCTTCTTCATGTACACCGGGCACGCGTCGTCGTCGTCCTCGTACACCACTGTACCATCGCGCTTGACCTTGACCACACCTCGTCGTTTTGCGTCCGACTTGCGTTGGTTTTTGTTGTGCTTGACGCGGTGTTCTTCGCAAAGCGTGTGCGGCTCACCACTAAACTTGATCGTGCGTTCATTTGGGCACCGTCCAGACTTGTACTTGCACCGACCACGATACTCGTCGCTTCTGTTGAGGAGGTTCGCGGACACGGAGATGGTGAGGTTCCCCACAAGTCGCGCGCGTTTGGTGGGGGACATGACGGAGGACGTCTGTCGCTTCAGCGACTTGCTTGATGACGACGCACGGGTGATGGGCGAGTTCATTGTGGGTCGTGGAGCAAAGAATGCAAATGATACGTTGAGGGATTGATACAGTCGTGCATTCCAATTCGTTCCGCCCACGGCATACATTATTCAAGTCACAGTTCGTGTTGGACACTTCAAAATTTCAGTGGCTAGTGTCCATTTCATTGGCCAATAATCCACGAATCAAATGCTTTCTCTTAGTTTCAAACAGCAAATTGATCGCCTTGGCAATCGCTGATTGGCTACTTCATTAAGGACTCGTCCCACAGGAGTTAAAACCCTAGGGTTAATGTCACATATGTACGTTTTAGTAGGTTTTATTGCGGGCGTGGCGCAACTCACCCACGACGTTTCGCATCCTGGCGTCAGAATGCAAGCAACATGGGCGTGCCGCAGAACGTTACCGCCTTTGCGTCGGAGACAGTGCTAATGCATGCAATAGCTGCACTCACATTGGATATATCTCATGTCCATCGCAGTATGCGTCGCGAAGGCATGCCGCCACTGGTCGGGTCCATCTTTGTCTTGAAATCAATCAGTTCTCCATGTGGTAGCTCTGGCGTCATGCGATTTGGCAGTATGAGGTCGCGCGACGTACCTGATGGAGGGACTGGCTCGCGCTTCTGCAAAGGAGTACTCGTTTGCAGCCAATATCTATCTTGTGTTGACGGTGTTAACGTATACTAGTATGCAATTCACTTGTTTGGATGTTCCTTGTTGGTCGTACAGTAACGACGGTCGATCGATCACGTGTATCTGAACCTTTGTCCTCACTTTGACAAGTTGGAGGCCGCAGATTTTTGAAAACTCCACGAAGGTTCGACTGATATTTTGGAAAATCCTTTCTGCCTCTTTTGGGAGTTTTTACATTTACGGTAGAAACGGCATCTCTTAACATTCCGAGTTGGCCTAAACAGGCTATAGTATGATCACATGACTGGCGGGTCCCTACAAACAGCAGCTACTAGTTTGTACCTCAGTATGTAGGTAGTTCAAGTGCACAGTGCCCGCCCTTGTATTCTTTCATTCTGTAAAGTATATACTCTCTACACCTCTGTACTGGTTGGTTCGTGTAGAGTGCCATTGCGCCTGCAATTTACTGCATATCTTGTGTGCATACCGCGCAACTGGACTTGGAACTACACGTCATTCCGAAGGACATGCACGTAGAAACATGAGTTCTGGACATAACTCGCCTTGCATGCCCCCATGTAAGTGTTAATTGTGAAACCAAATTTCACCACTTTTAACTGAAAGTTCCGGTTATTTCCCACAACTCACGCCATGTGCGTTTGGATGTTCGCGGAACATTCGATATATTTCGTCCAGACCCTTCATTGTTGCAGTATTTTTCGACTAATACCCGGTATATGTCTCCCCACAGCCGGTATATTTCATACATTGTTCAACATATATTTCAAATGACGTTTTATCTATTTCGATTTTTGACACAATACAAGTACAGTATCGCAGGTGGTGGATACCATTTTGAACTTGTCTAAATCATAGATATGAGTCGACGTGGATCCTCTACAAGCTTACACCTTGTATCTCACGCTGTTCAACGGTCGTGCTGAAAACGTGGGTAACATGAAACTTTGCGCAGTGCCTTGATTTGCGTCAAAAATCGAAATAGATAAAACGTCATTTGAAATATATGTTGAACAATACATGAAATATACCGGCTGTGGGGTGACATATACCGGGTATTAGTCGAAAAATACTGCAGCGATGTAGGGACTGGACGAAATATTTGGAATGTTCGGCGAACATAACGCACAAAGCGTGAATCAGTTGCGAGTGAGTCGAAATATACCGGAAAAATATCCTGAACTTTGTTAACTGTAAATCAATTAAAATGAACTACTCCGACATGTGATCCAAGTGGTGTATGTAACCGCTTTGTAACCGATAAAATAGTAAGTTGCCACTGAAATGGCCCGTCCGCGACCAAAGACGCAGGCGGCGGTGATGCCACGGAAAGACGAGGATGTGCTCGAGTACATGAAGTCCATGGCAGAGCCCAAGGACAAGCGCCATCGCGCCAAGCCGAGCACACGATCAGCGTCGCGGAATGTGTCGACAATCGCCAAGAGACATCGAGACCTCCAAGCCGCCTTTGGCTTTGGCTGTAACGTCGAAGAACACATCAAATTCGGCAAGGTGCGCCACTCTTCCTTGTAGTATATAGATCCCCTCAAAGCGTCCATCCTTCGATACACACTAGTGCCTCGACGGCCGATGCATGCAACGACTCGAGTGGGAAGTGGACAAGTTGTCTGTGGGGGTATGTACATGTATGTCCCAGGTGAACCTTCACCGCCCATAAGGCAACCGTGTGTATGCATGTAGTCGCACCATTTTCGCGACAAGGACTTGAGTTTGCACCAAGCGTGTGAATTCGGCAACGAGTTTGCCGTCCACCACCTCGTTCAACTTGGCCCCGCATTTAACGCCAAGAATCAGCATGTGCGGCGCCACCACTGTATGTCCTTGACTGACGATGCTTAGGGCCAGACGGCGCTGCATGTGGCGTGCCGCGTCGGGCCCGTGGCTTTGGTTCGTCATATGTTGGCGGCCAACGCCGTCGCGACCCCGCGATCGTATCGAATGGACATGAACACTCAAGACAACAACGGCAACACGTGCCTGCACATCGCGGCCAAAGCCAACCACTTGGACATCACGCAATGCCTGTTGGACGCGGGTATGTGCGAACATCATCATCATACGTTCGACGGTATGATGATGTTCATTGGAGATATGTACTGTAGGGTGTCCATGGAACATCACCAACAACGAGGGAAAGATCGCGGCGGACGTGTGCGGACGCGACCAGCGCATATACCACGTGCTCAAGCAGCATGCAATGGCCCACGACCTCGGGGACGAGGTGCTCCTAGCTAGGATATGTACAGACTGTATCTCGTCCATACATCCGTTATTGCAATAACGTTCCTCCACCCCCCATGGTGTCGTTATCGCAGGTCAGTAAACCAACACCTTGTATGTAGCTGCACGAGTTGGCAGCGAAATCGACCTCGGCGCATCAGCTGCTGCCGCACGACCAAAGCAGCATCCATTGACACTTGACAATAACATTATTACTTTCTACGACGTCTAGTTTGCACTTTGGGTGGACGATCGATACATGGAAGAGGATGGTGACGCTTAAATGTCATACGATTCGCGGGAAGACGTCTGGGACACGCTGTCGTCGAGCATGGTCATCTTCTCTGGCAGCGAGAACACTCCCGCGCTCCCCATCGACGGACTCTGAAGGAGGTCGAACCCGGCGGACGACAAGCTGGCCGAGTGGCCAGATATCCGCCACATCTCGCGGCTGGCGGTGACGCTGCTCGACATGCTGTCGTCTCTGTGGTTGGGCTGGTATGCCATCATAGGCGTGTGCGGTAGCTGTCGGGGGGTTTCGTCGGCGGTGGATGACGTGGTCGTGCCCCGAACTTTGTCGCTCTCTGTGTACGAGATGATGGACGAGTCCTGCGACTCGAGCGACGACCGCCGCTGGGTGGACGCTTGGTGGTAGTATGAGAAGAACGGCATGGGGCGGTCCAGTTCCGGCTTGACGCGGTCCTTCCGCCGAAACGGGTCGGAGAGGACGATGCCGTCGAAGTTGTGGTCCGGCGACAGGCTGTCGCGGTACTCGGACGAGGCGAAGTCGGTCGCGTACACGGAAGAAAATGGATCGGCGCGGCGGCGTGGTTTGGTCGGGTCGTCCGATTCAGTGGACGCTGTGGACGGACCCCCTCTGAACATGATCTTGGCCCTGGCTTGGGCTTGGCGGCGTCGACATATCAACACTATGGCCAGGACAATCAACACTGCTGCGACACTGCCGAGAATCACTCCGGTGAGCGCGGATGCTTTCATTTCCGACGTGAGGGTGGAGGAAGGAGGTGGAATTGGTGGCGCGTCTGCAGGGGATCGGTTAGGACGAAGTAGGGCGCGTTCCGGACGAGGATACCTGGAGGCGACGTGGTCGACGAGTTCTGTGAGGCCACACCAGCGTCGCTGCTGGGTTCGGCTTTGGCACTATCGAGTAATGTCGCCGATGTTGATGTGAGAGACACTCGAGCTCGCCGTCGAACCACCGGGACGACGCGGGTTGAGTGCTCTAACGTGGAGAGTTGAGATGGTGAGATCCATCTCAGAGAAGGAGGCACCTGTGGTGGCATGACCTTTGGTTAAAACGAAGGAGACTGAGAGGTAAACTATCCCCATATACACCCTGGACACCATCGCGCACGACGAAGTCTGGACAGCGCTTGCTTGGGCTGGACTTGTAAGTTACTGCGACATCTGTAGCCACATCCGCGCCTCTGGCGACAACAGTCGAAGTTGTTGGGCCATTTAATAATATACGCGTCGGACCGTATTAAATGCTAGCGTTGTTCGTGATATTATTATTGTTTTCAACAATCGAAGTTTTCCTCAGCAATTGAACTCGAATGAACACTCCCACGAGTGTGGTTTCGCTTTGTCGTGCCCAAGTTCTACAAGTCCAATGGTGAGATGATAGGCTGGCTGGTTGTATATATGTCCAACTAGTTATTCGAATGCAAGTAAACAAGAGCCACAGATACTCTCACACACAGTGTTACAGTACTGTACGTACACTTGTTGCGTGCTCCTTGTCGTACCTGACACATACAATACTGTACAGTAGTCCCCCGGAATAAGGAACCCACCATAAATCTATATCCTCTCAGAAAACATAATTTTGCGTGCAAATCAGTCATAAAATCTGAGAGGTACATTCAACTTTTAAATTAACCATGCAAATAATAGAATACTTGTTGGCGACACTCACACTTGGAACTCAGCATACCGTCGCCGTTGTCGCGGCTACGATTGAC